ACATTTGTCATAACATACTGGTATATTTTCTCCAACTTCTGTGCTGCCTGTCTGATTATGTTGGTGTTATATAACTAGTTATGCTGCGTCATTAGACTAGCTCTGTTTAGGTGTGTTACGCTACTTGGGTGATTTGGATTGGAACTCAACTGCAGCTTGTAAAACTCCCTAATTACAATTGTGAAGAAACTGAGAATCGTTAAAGTATCAATACTGTAGCTTTAAGAAAAGAGAGAATTGCTGGTAACTTGATTCAAACTTAGTTTTAATAAGTGTTAAACTTAAATGAATTGCATTTAGGCAATAATCCAATAAGAGGGAGTGCAAGTAATCAATAACACAAAGTTCATTAATAAGTATTTCCTCAGAGATGCATTAAGTAACATTCTTTAGGATAATGAGAATAATCTTCAATAGTAACTTTAAGTAGTTGAGAATATTTGCAAGCAGGAACAGTTCATAGTTAATAAGCATGATGGGAGTTGTCCTCCATACAATTAGTAGCTTGAAGCACTGAGTGTATTTGCAAAGCAAGAAACAGTTCCTTGTGAATAAGCATGATGGGAGTTGTCCTCCATATAAGTAGTAGCTTGTAGCAATGAAGATTTGAGTAAGCAAGCATTAGTTCATTATTAAATGATATTGTAGACAAATAGCTGAAAGATATACTTAAGGTTAATCTGAGTAGTCCTCCAATAGTTTAGGGATATGGTCCACTTGTAAAGTAAGTGAGTTTCCGTTCTCCAGTAATTCTCTATGACATGAAGCATACTTGTCTTAGTCCAGAAGGCTAGGACGACTTCAGAGTTTGTAGAGCCGGCGTGCATATTCGGAAGTAGGACCCACATTGCCAGAGCCTGTGGAGAGGTAAGTCTGGCGGAAGTAGTTCCCAGTAGCTGAGCCTGTGGAGGTCGCGGAGGCAGCTCACACATTAGCTCACACACAATCACCAAGCACCCTCTCTCTGGCACGGTCTCCCTAAATACCGTCAGAGGGGGGCGGGGTCCAGCTCCGCACAGCGGAGCTCTCTGTGCTGAGGAGCTTCATCACAGTCTGTCTGCATCAAGATTTATTTGGGCAAATTCCATTTCCAAAAGGATAGAAATTAGTCCTTTACATTTGCTATTCCTTCCTTGCACTTGGATTTTTTGTGTGCAACTACTCTCAGAAGAAATATGTAATAGAAAGCAGGAATAGGTGTCCACAGAATATGGGGTGACAATGCTTTCTTATTCTTGATAAAAATGGCAATGGGGCAGGGCAGTGCACACACTAAATAATAAAGTTTTTTTAAATCACATATTTGTCTTCTTCTTGAAGGCAGCATAGTGTTATGCAGACTGGTGGTGGAAATTCTCTACCAAAGTAAACTCAAGTTCAGGAACTGTAAGAATAGATAATTATCGGTTAATGATACCAGTAAGACATCACTGTTTCAGCTCTGCTCCCATAGATGGAGAGGGGGATGAGAGCTAGATCAAATTCATTTAAAAGGTGGAGAATAAAAGAGAAGGTACGGGGAGTGTAGTTTGAAATGCAGATCAGAGGAACAAGACACCCAGTCCTACTACTTGTCTTTCACTGGGTCTTTTGACTTGATTAAAAGAAAACCGGCTGTTGCAGAAGGCAGATAGGGAAGATGATACCCAACAGAAAAAAAGACGTAATTCACTAACTAAGGTAAAAAAAGTTTCTCAATTTGCATAGCACTGTTTTTTTGCTGATCTAGCTCCAAGGGGTAAAATCTTTAATTATATTCTGTAGACCAGGGGTAGTCACTGTGTCGCTCTATTGCTAAGGTAGTATACCCATAACACCGAATGACCTTTTTGCCTGCCAAATTTCAGTGATTCGCATGGAAGAGTCAGTTTACAGAAAGTCAGATAGCTACTTGTTAGCAACCCCCTGTTATTCTCAGTCTATAATGTATGGGAGTGATATCTTTATAGTTATGGTAACCACGTTAAAATGTACATGGCTTTTACATAATCTATATATAGGTCCTTTGAGATTAAAAGAACTAATCTATAAATAGAATTAAGCATAAGGCAAAGATGTCACAGGAAAAAGGAATACATGCTATCAGACAGCAAAACGAAAAACTGCCTAGAACTAGCACCATATGGGCAATATGAAAGAAAGCTAGGTTACGCATAATTTCAACACTAAACAAATTCACAGTGGGAAACTAAGATGGTTTGTCTAAATACAATGAGCACTATTTAAAAATGAATTAGTTATTTTGTCATGCAGTTACATGAATAATCACAGTTGCAGCTTCAAAGCATAGTCAGGGCAAGCACGCCATACATCACTATAAGCTCGTATGGCAAAAACGTAGCAGCACATTAAAATCTTTAAAAACTTAAGCCTAAAACAGTAAAGTGCAATTAAAGAGGGGAGGTAGGAGAGAGATATGTCAATATCATAACAGATTTGTGGTATAACCATCATTATAGTCATGTGCATGGTGCCTTGAGCACTCTGATCCACTGTTATGTTTGAGAGCGAGCTAGAGTTTTATTAAAATTTCAGCCACCGTAGGATAGCCCATCAGCGCGATTCGTTGGGTAAGCCGGAACTCATAGCTCCAGGTAGCTAGGGTAATTTTTTTTTTCCTAAATGGGTTCTGGTACACAGTGAGGAGGCTGGAGTCACATCATTGTGTAATGGCAGGCTGATTGAAAACCACTGACTTAGAAATTCCTAAAGACCGGGGGCCCGAGGGTAGTGATAGACAGCTGGGAAGATCTGAGGAATAGTCTTTTTGCAGCACCAGTGATAGTTGTGAGGCACTCAACATACATGGACTTTCCTTATTGTCATAATTGTTATTGGCTGAGCAGGGAGTATACTGACACCAGGAAGTGCTTTGTGCCTGTGACAGGTGTATTTATTGCAGTTCAGCACTGGTGCAGCTTGAGAATAGAGGCAGGGGTATAACTTTACATCATATTCCCTCCTCCCTCATACTCAGAGGGCTGCACCCATCACATAGACATACAGTAAAGACACCAGGTAGAGGCAAAGAACACTGCTAGGTGTCTGCAGGTTCCATGCTTGACCACACTGCAAAGGTTATGGTAAGAGCAGGGGCAGATCTTGGGAGGCACTGGCAGATTATTTAAAGAAACAATCCAGACACATTAACCACTACTACTACACCACTACTACCACTACAGCTATGGCACCTCCAAGAGTAAGTAGTCAAACCCTTTGAAAAACAGTTTGACAACTTACCTGGGGTCTGCTGAGATAGGGGCAGTAGTGTGAGTGAGTGTGTGTGTGTGTGTGTGTGTGTGTGTGTGTGTGTGTGTGTATATATATATATATGGACAAGACTCAGGAGGGGAAGTTGGACAGAGTTTGTAGATTGAAAGAGACCTGTCAACGTTGTAGGTCCGGGCCACAAATGAGAAATGGGGGAGCTTGGGGGATTATGAACCCAGTTAAGGTTTATCAATGTTATAAACACAGGTAGCGGTTAGAGAGTATAAATACATGGGTTTAGAGGACAGAAGCATAGGTGGGATTTAGTGAGAATAAACAAATGTGGGGGGGTGAGGGGGAGTTGGGATGAGGGGGAAACAAGTAGGGGGAGACAGGGAGGAAACAAAAGAGGAAGGTGGTTAGAGGTCAGAGACATAACTGAGGGTAAGAAGGCTGAGGATTATGGGTGTGTATATACTGTATTCACAGCTATATATATTTTACTTCTGCGCTTGACCTGCTTATCTCAAGTTGGACTTTGGGATGTCCTCCTTAGACACAGAAACACAGAAATCATGTTTCCACAGCTATCACAGAATTTCCAGCTTGCCATGCAAATGAATACAGACAGGCATTGTGTTTTACTTTGCATTTCTGTAGTTACCTTTAGCAACGGACACTTTTTACACAGCGTTTTTTTTTAAAACCTAAGCATGAGTTTTGATCCAAATCGATCTGTAACAGAAACCAGAAACCAGCCATTTACTGTTACCGTTTCAACATATTTTGGTGTCATCAGTATGGCACCAGTTCTGGAAGCCTCTAATTTGTCATGAGACCAAACTTGATAAAAAAAATAATTAAATAAACATTCTCAGACACGTTGCTGTTGCACTTTACCTACATATGTCTGTTTGGACTTTGCAAGTTTCCTCTTGAGTACATAAACTCTAAGAAATCATCTTTCCACAACTGTGCCAGAAATTCCAGGTTGACATACAAATAAGCACAGACAGGCATAACGCGTCAGACGCGTGCATTTGTAAACCAAAGCATGGGTGATGATGTATAAAGGTAGTCTGCACCCCTATGGCGTGACAAATTCAATTTCCATTCTCTAAAGGGTGAATTGTTGGGCATTCCATGTGAATATGGAGTTTAGTAAGTAGCCTTGAAAAGCTGAGTAGATTTTTAGTGCAAATCCCTGCGTGTGCTTAAATAGCCCCCCTCCTGACTCATTGTGAGTCCTGGGGTGGGGCATACCTACAAGGAGGCATTATTTACTAATATAAAAACTACTCTTGCCTCAAAAAAAAAAATTTGCAGCAATCTTCAGCAAATTTGGAGGTGAATTTGCACTAGGTTTAGCAACTAAAAAAAAAAAAATTATAAACAAAATTGGGGACCAATAGCTCGTACTGTATGAAGATGAGTTTCCAAGTTGGAAAAACAGCAATTTTTCTATCGATACATTATGGCTCCTCAGAATATTTTGTGGGATGCTTGAAAATGTGAAATAACTGCGTTTTCTCTGACCATTTTGCCTCAAGCGTATCATATCCTTCAGGTATAAATAAACGTAAACGTCAAGCGAATAATTTTACCATTAGAGATTATATAATTTTTAACTGCATGATAGCTAAACGTTTCTTCACAAGGAGAGAGAACGCCTCATTCTCCTGTGCACTGTCCCTTTAAAAAGAGGACCGGGTGTGCCAGGAGTAACTATGGAAACTTCAAGCTGAGAATAAAGGCAAATCTGTTCCCAACCCATTTAGAAAAAGGCTGTAAAGCAGGCTGCAAGGCAGTCAGAGAAGAAAAACAGATGAGATTTCAATGAGGTGTTGAAGTTTGTGTTAGAGGAGAAGGTGCTGATAGGGCCTCCATGAAAAGGTGAAAGTGCTGAGAGGCAACCTGTGCAGACTCTGGGCTGTGTCTCACTTGACAACTGCTGCTCAGACACATAAAGATGGACTTCAGGTGAGTCCAGGTGAGGAGATGACAGGTATCTGGCTGGAGGACAAGGCATGTACTGCTCTGTACAGTTTGCCAGTGAGGTACTTTAATATCATTTAACTGGTGGTGGTGTTATCCTTTCCTTGACTAGCAAAGAATGGGTTAATCATCGTGGTACGATGCTCAGTTCTGTAGTCAATCCTGTCAGGAACTAGCAATTAAAGAGGCAGTCCTGCCTAATAAGAGAACGGACTACCCTGACATGTTTAATAGCTAGCACTATGCCTTGAATAGCATTCAGAGAGAACTGTAGATGTCAGCTTGTTAATTAGATTTTTATACTTATAGACTGCAGGTAAATCTGTCCTTTAGATATGTATGTGCTATTTATTTGCATATGAAGCTAATATAAAGCTACATGGTGTGAATGATAAACAAGCATGTCTGATGTGATTGAACCTAGGCTCCTTTACTAAATTGCATGTTGTGGCGGTGAAATATCGAAATTATCCAGCTGGGGAAAAAATAGGTAATTGTGGAGAATATTTCTAATTTGGTTATTAAACGGTTCAGTGAATGAATGCATCTAGTGTTTCACAGATACCGATATAAATCGAATTAATTACACAATGGTTTCTGGAATCTTCATAAATAATCCACTGAATGCAACATTGGAGGACTCTCTAAAGTTTACATCCCACTCACCTACTGATTAAATCAGGGCAGTTAAGAATAGATAAAACATTATTTAAGCACAGATAAAGTGTCCCTTTAGGACTCAAATGGCTGGACACGTCCTTTAAATCTCTTGCATTCCATACCCTATCTAGTGGCAGTAGCAATGGCAGTGCATATAGTTGTGAGGTCAGGATTTTCTAGATCCCTATAAACAATTAATGGCTGGCAAACTTGGCTCAGAGTTGACCGAATAAAATATGTTTCCTTTTCCAGAAGAGGCATGACGAGTGGATGCAGCAGGCATTAACATGATGCCAGCCATGAGAGGACTTCTAGCTCCTCAGAATACCTTCTTAGATACCATAGCGACAAGGTTTGACGGAACACGTGAGTATTATTAATTATATTGCTAAAACTCCTGCATCTTTCTCTGTCTCACGCAAAGCCTTTTAACCTGTACACACTTAATAGCACGGCTACACTGATTAAGAATATCTGCATATAAACCATTCTTAAGCATCGGAAAAAACAATATTTAACAAAATAAAACAATACAAAAAAGTAGTTTCTAACAATGATTATTAACAAAACAAAGCAACTATTTAAAATATTTTATGTATGAAAATGGCGTTTCTCAAATAGAGGCTGCATGCTGTCCCTGTCCCCCTAGCACTGCGATGTAAAACATTGCCATTGCCATTTTAGAGAACCTGAAATGTTAACATTGCCGTGTTAAGACTGCATCTAGTGACGGTCTACCAGACAGCCACTAGAAGCACTTCATGCAGTTTCACAGAGTTTGACTCCGTAAAATTACGCTGAATGTCCTCAAGCTGTACATGAGGATATCCAGCATCAAGCAAAAGCCCATAGGAAAGAATTAATAAAATGCATTCCTATGGGTAAAGTTTATTGCATGCACTGCCTTTGCCACGTATGTGGGGCAGGGGCAGTGGCAGAACTACCGCGGGGCATGGGGATCTCTTATCTTAACTTTGTGGACCATTCTTTCTAACATGCAGTCAAACATGACATTTAACAAACTCCAGCCAGTTCAGGTATTTCAAATGTTCCAGCTCAAACACATGGTGCAACTAATGAAGCCCTTGATTGTGCTTGAGACAACATCTGTTTTGCATATTTGTGCTTTTGTGAGGGATCTTATTTAGGGGCTTGAATAATTTTGAGACATTATAAGTGGTATTTTTAGTTGAATTCGGGGAAACCATTTGAAGTATTTGTTGTGTTGAGCTATTATAATTGCTTTTGTTTTATTTGTTCATTGCAAACAACTGTAAGTCTGTTAAATTTGACAATATACCTGATTTTCAATAGGAGTTGAATAATTTTCATTACAACTGAATGAGTCAGTTTGCTTATATATGTGTATCTGTGTGTGCCTGTATGCGTCAGTGTGTATTTATGTATGTGTGTGTGTGTATGCATCAGAGTGTGCTTCTGTATGAGTCAATATGTCAGTGTGTGTGTATCTGTGGGTCTATGTGTATGTATATCTATGTAAATATGTATTGTGTCAGTGTGTGTATCTGTGTTTGCGTCAGTGTATGTGTATCAATGTAAAAATGGAGTATGTAGCAGCATATGTGTATATGCGCATACATGCTAGCAATGAAACGCCAATAGTACATGCAAACAAACATAAAATAAAAACACACTCCTGCATTAGAATGCCAAAAATATATACAAACAGCCCTTCTTTTAAGCACCAACACTACACACAAAAGTACACCAGCATTTAAAAGCCAACACTACATACAAACACACAACTGCATTCAAACGCAAACATTGCACAGAAATACACCTCTGCATTCTAATGGCAAAGGTACATACAAATACACCCCTACACGCACACACATACTCCATACAAGAACATGATTACATTCAACAAACACACAAGCATTACTCCAAAATACAACCCTGCACAGATGGGGAAATGGTAGATCCCCAGCTGCTATAACATTGCATGAGACATGTGGATCTTCAGGAAAAGAATCCTAACTTGAAGGGGTCCCAAAAGGTGGCCTGTGTGACATAGAGGCTATTTCTCCTTTGGATGGTCTCATCTCTAATTCACAGTATATGGTGTTAATTTGATGTCGGAGCACAGAACTGTCTCCTCAACACTGTCCAGTACTGTGTTATTTCTTTTTGTTAGCTGTCATCTGGCTCAATCTTATGTGTACGAAGGTTGTCCTGAGCTTACTATTACTATAAAAATTGACCACAGTGCTTAAAGCTCATTGTTTCACAAATCCCTGTTAATGCTCTTGATCCTAAAACCGGTACTTTATTAAAACACAGTGAATACAGATTTCGGGCATGATTTTGATCTTTGAGCTTTAACTTTGCCATATTGCAGGTTCAACTTTTACTTGTGCACTGACACCGAGCTTTATAAAGCAACACTAGTTTTATTCAGTGAGCACCTCCTTAATTATATGTTTCATATTCCCTTTCTTTAACAACTGCTCTCGAGAGCAGTCTCTAGTTAACTAGGTTCATATTCATATAATACAAGAGAAAAGACGTGGCAGCTCATGCAGAACGCATGGACTATTAGCTCTGTGGGCTTCTGTCCTCCCCTTTGTACGAGCAAGTGATGATAGGAAAGGCGTTGAGCCAGCAGTAATAATACTCTTTGAGAGCTTTGTCATTCCTCTGGGACAAGACCAGAACATGGTATTTAAACAAAACAAATGCAATGTCTGGCAAAGTCAACAACAAGAAAATATTGTGGTCATACAACAAGGCCAGAGATATGCATACAAACATGTCTCAGCGTCTGTTCTAAGATCTGCACATTAATACACTATGGTAACAATATTGCACATCTGGTTGGCTATAAAATATGGATTGTGTAGGCCACACTGACTTTTGGGCATTAAAGGTCACATTTATCAAAGTAAAAGCAGGTCATATTCAGAAAGAAAGGGCAAAACAAGAAGCAATTACCATGGAAACCAAAATAGTGTACCTTGTAAAACAATATAATGTTTTCTGTGTTGATTAAGTGAATACAATCTTTAATCAAGAGTGCAAATTACAGTGGACTATGATCATACCAGTATGTTTATTTCTTTGTCACTGTATTTTTGTGGTAAATTACTAATTTCTGCAAAAATCAGCCCAGACACTTCTATCTATCTATACATTATTGTATTTTGTGGTTTTCAAGATGGTGAACGCATTCCAACATTTACAATTGCTAGATCTTGTCTCCCCTAAAAAAAAAAATATATATATATATATATATATATATATATATATATCTTCTTTTTTTTTTTAAATACTTGCCAATGTAAAGCTAGAAATTGCAGAGCAGTGTGCTGTAATATTGCATTGGACATATTGTGGACTACATTTCCCATAATGCTTAACCTTTCATACATATGAAAATCAATGGAAATTAAGCCAATGTTTTCGCAAGATTTACAATAAATGCAGCAACATCAGGATTACAACACCACCTAGCAAACAAAAAAAATATTTTCAGCACCTTGGACAGGTCACTCATTTACCCTTTTTTTTCCCTTTAACAGTGTAGGTTCCTCTCTGATTAGCATCAACTCTAAATAGGTAACAGATAATAACTCCTCGTGTTCACCAAAATAGTAGTGACAAGCGAGCAGCATTTTGTTAAGTTATCAGTGTTTTCAAATGTGAATGAGACGCCAATAAGAATCTAAATCACATTGTGTATTAAACATGGGACTTCATTTATATAAAGTTTTTTTTATGCCAAAGAGGTACTTTAACTTGTGCCAAAACAGCTCTGATGCGCCCGAGGCATGGACTCCACAAGACCTCTAAACGTGTCCTGTGGTATCTGGCACCAAGACATTAGCAGCAGATCCTTCAAGTCCTGTATGCTAAGTGGGGCCTTTATGGATCGAATTTGTTGTTCCAGCACATCTCACAGATGCTCAATTGGGTTGAGATCTGGGTATTTGGAATCCAAGGCAACACCTTAAACTCTTTGTCATGTTCCTCTAACCATTCCTGAACATTTTTTTGCTGTGTGAAAGAGTGCATTATCCTGCTGAAAGAGACAGCTGCCATCAGGGAACACCATTGCCTACCCATCACTATTATGCTGTTGTCAAAGTCACTCAGATCTTTTCGCTTGCCCATTTTTCTTGCTTCCAACACATGAGATTCAAGAACTGACTGTTCACTTGCTGCCTAATATATCTCACCATGGGCCGGTGCTTCCATTAGGCTACTTAGGCAGTTGTCTAAGGCGCCAGTTAACAAGGGGCGCCTACTGATATCCAGCGACTGTGCTAGCCTGAACTGGTATGTTAGTTTGCCTGGAGAAGACTGTTACATTACTCTCAGTGCTGTCCTACCTGCATCTCCTGGCCACTAGGTGTAGGCAGCGCGAGACTGTAGCTCCCTCCCCCTAAACTGTGCATGAGCGGTCAGAACATAACATGGGGGAGTGTGATGTATCCATTACAATCATGCAGCAGTGAGCAAAGACTATGAAGTTTGATGTGTGTGTGTGTATGTGTATATGTATAGATGTAATATATAAATATATTTAATTTTTTTTTGGGGGGGGGGGGATATTTAGCATACATGAATATATACGTTCATTATTTACCTGAAACCTTTCTCACTATTTTGAGACATGAGTACTGCTTGTCATGCTTACCCATTCCGGAGCTCCCCGATCCAGCGGCGGGTCAGATGCTGAATGCTATGCATGCATGTCTATTTGTATAAAGTCGCACCAATGTCACAATGGCACGACTTTAAGTGCCAAATCGTTCTGCAAGAACAAGCCAAAATACCCAAATTCCTCGTTCAGCCGAATTCAGGTTCTTAGGTGCTCCAGAGTTATGCCAACCAATAATGTTAGTGACCTGGCTATATAAAGCCAGGGATTTCTGTAGCAAGTTGCCCAAGAGTGCGCTTTATTGTATTTTAGATTTCTTGTTGCTTGTTTATTCATCTCTCCGATCTCTGTGTTCCTGACCTTGGTTTGTTTCTCGTTTATGCTGTTTTCTCCTACACTTGACCTTGACTTTCTCTCTGACTCTGACTCTTTACTTTAAATCCGTCCATTCTAAGGCCCGGTAATACATGGTAATTATCTCTTCAGCAGATTAGGGTCTGTGAGTGTTGGGTTCTCCTGTCTAGCCATGACACTGCTCTTATCATTTCTAGAGCTCATGCGAAAAAAGCAAACAACTGTGTTATCCGATAATTATAAGGGCCCATTTAGTAAAAACTAAGTATGATGTGATAATATACATATATTTAGGCAATACATTCGATGATTGCTGTGTGTGTACGCTGTACTCATAAAATAAATAAATTATATTTTTAATGTTTTGTAGTCCTTGAGACATCAGAACTATAAATAAAAGCAATCTAACAATTTGGATCGATTCTAAAAATATAACATGATTCACACTTGCATTTTGTACTGCCTGGTTGCCCCGATTTCTGTGAAATCTGATTCATTGCCCTGACATCTGCTATATATGAATATTTATTACGCAGTTGCTTATTACATATCTTGGTCTAATCACTAAACCTCAAGATGTGGTGCTCAGAGACCCACTTCCAAACTTTGGGACAAAACAGCCAAGCTGAATAAAAATCAACAAAATGACAGGTTAGTTCTCAGGTCATTGCAGCTTGGTTTTTAGCAAATAGTTAAAAAAACACAAAACCATAACATATTTAATTTTTAGAGAACTTACAAGGTCATTATCTGTTTTAACAGGAATATCAGTATTTCTTTTACCTTTCTGTCCCAATTGCTGAATAATATTCAAAATCCAATAAACCTTTTGTAGATTGAGAGTGAGTAGAGTTTGATTTGCTCCTGAAAGTTTAGAGGAAAGGTTTGAGATAATGTGGAAATGCGGTTTTGTGTGGGTTATTTACTAAACTGTGAATTTTAAAAATTAGATCAAAATGGCACAACTGAATTGGAGAATGTTTCCAATATGGGAATTGTTTTGTTTTTTTAAAGTATTAATTATTTTGGGCAAAAACAATGACATTTATTTTGAATCCTAAAGACTGTAAGCTCGTTTGAGCAGGGCTCTCTTCAACCTATTGTTTTTGTAATTGTCTCATTTATTGTTAAATCTCCCCCTTTGATAATATTGTAAAGCGCCATGGAATATACTGGCACTATATAAATACCAGTAATAATAATAATAATAATAATAATAATAATACCTGATTATTCACAATTTAGTGCAATAATTACAGACTAAATTTCCAGCAGATATGCTAGAGCCAAATAACATTTTTGGAGAGCGGCGTTGCTGTTTAGAGCAAGAAATAAAATTTGGAATGTTTACATTATAGAAGCATGATGGGACACTTGGTATCTATCCAAATTTAGGGGTCAACTCTGAGCAGTATTAGCTTAAATAAGAACTTTCGCAATTTAGTACTTGAGGAGTGAAATACGTTTTAACCTGGTCCAACACATTTGTTATTTAAAAAAAAAAAAAAACAACCACAAAAAAAGAACAAAAAAACACAAAACACAGTTACATTTTATGTTTGATGTGATGCCCAGTGCCACACAATGCACACCATGTTATTTGTTTGGTCCCAGTCTACATCCACTGGGTGCAAAAACCTTTCAGATAATGCCCAACTATATTTATGTGTTATTTGCAGTTACGCAAACTTAATTAGCGCAAGACTCTTCACATGGACTGTGCTGTTAGAATCTGCAATGCTTGTAGTTTAAATAATCGTTGATCTATCAATGGCTGTCTTCTGATATTTTAAATCAACTTTTCCATATATCTTTTAATAGTCATTGTCTTTTTCTCTCTTATAGACAGTAACTTTGTCCTTGGCAATGCTCAGTTGCCCCAGTCTTTTCCTGTGGTTTACTGCTCTGATGGGTTCTGTGAGCTCACAGGGTTTGCTCGAGGTGAAGTCATGCAGAGGTCCTGTGCATGTACATTCTTATATGGACCAGAGACAGGAGAGCAGGTCCAGCAACGTGTCAAGGAGGCTCTAAATGATAAACAAGAGCTCAAGACAGAGTTGTTGCTTTACAAGAAAAATGGTGAGTAAATATGTGTGCTATGAAACAGTAAGCTAAAGTGAAAAAACGGTCACCCCCAAGGGTGACTGGTGGTGTGTCTGTGAACAAACCAATAGGGGGTAGCCCTCACTTAAAGTGTTTGAACAATAGAGAAACAGACCCCAGGAGCACTAGGCCGCCCAAGGTCAATGGGTTAGTTTGCCACAACTCACTGTATTGAAATTAAACTTTATTAAATAACTGCAAATAATTGTGAAATAAATCCATACTCAAAACCAATAAGTGAAAAAAAATGAAAAAAATACAATAAAAACTCATGACAGGCTGAACAGACCTTCAGGGTCAGCACTAAAGGCTGAAAGAGCCACCTGACTGGTGGGGAAAATTAACCCTGGTCTAAATAGACAGCTCATATACGGTATATAACAATACACAAAGCACTGGGTGAGCCAGACTAGGAGAAAGAAGAAGAAACTCTAAAGGTGCAAATACCTTCAATTGTAATAATTAAGATACTATTGAGTAGCACTATACACAGCTGCTAAGGCACCATAATCAGTGTCAAGGATGTAGAAATGATGTAGCTAAACAAGTAGATACTTGTAATAATAACAAAGTTGCTAAATGTTAGATAACATAAAAACACACCGAGTCGGAAAGGCCATCACTACAGTGAATCCGTGCAGCTTCGTTATATGTGCAACAAAGCTAAACACTGATGATCTAGTACACTGTAGAGTGCAATAACCCAGATACAATGAAAATTAAGCACTTAACAGCGCATTCCTGGTGGTCTGACAAACGAGTCAACGAGATGGGGAGGATAGACACCGGCAGATGGTAACGATAAAGACCTCTCCGACTCCCTCCTCTATCTGGTTCCTAGGTGGATTTTTTGGGTCTTTTTGTTTTGTAAATTTAATGTTTATTGTTACAGAATATTTAGCAAGGACAAAATAAAATAAAGCAGGTTATTGTATTTACTGGACTGATATAACAGATCCAAACACATAGCTAGATATGTCAATAGGTTGGAGATCTTAAAACACATGGACAATAAATATCATCAACTAAAAATACATTTTAGTAAAAACCAAAGAAAAAAATTACCTGCGCTCTTTCCACATCCCTATGTATTTTTAAAGAAATTGAGGTTTTTAGTTATTTTTATATATATTTTCCCAATATCTACAAACTAGGCAGGGATAGGCAACCTTCAGCATTCCAGATACTGTGGCTATATCTCCCTTGATGCTTTGCCAGCATAATGTCTGTCTGTAACGTAGTCCTCAACATCTGGAGTGCAGGAAGTTACCTACCCCTCAAGTAGGCTGTAGTGTCTTGTAAAGTCATGCAAGCTTCGTCATTCTCTTCACATTGTATTTAGAGGCATTTAAAAGTTGAGAATGTCCAGGGTTCAGGAAAGATCATTCCCGAGATGTGCTCTTTATGGAAAGGAGAAGATATGTTTTCTTTCCTATTAGACTTGCTAGTCCTAGTTCTGGAATGTTTGATGCAATCTACACACAAGTGTCAGTTTTTTGACAGTTTTTCAATACATTACATTATGTGTGTATGTCAAAGGGTGAGATATATATAAGGTAGAAAGTGAACAGTCAGATCTTGAATTTCATGTGTTGGAAGTAGGAAAAATGGAGATGGGAGTGACAGCTAGGACGGCTAGGTCAGAGCATCTCCAAAACAGCAAGTCTTGTGTGTTCCCGGTATGCAGTGGTCAGTATCTATCAGAGAGGGTGCAAGGAAGGACAACTAGTCAGCTGGTGTTGGGTGTCATTGGCACCCAAGGTTCATTGATGCATGTGGGGAGCAAGGGCTAGCCCGTCTGGTTCAATCACACAAAATAATTGATGTTGCTCAAATTGCTGAAAAACAAGATATTCAAATACACAGTGCATCACAGTTTTCTGCGTATGGGGCTGCTTAGCCACAGACCAGACAGAGTGCCCATGATTATTATTATTATTATTTTATTATTTATATAGCGCCATGATGATCCATGTCCACTGCTGTAAGTGCTTTTAATGGGGATATGAACTTCAGAATTGGACTATGGAGCAATGGAAGAAGGTTGCCTGGTCTGAATTACATTTTTTTTTAGATGAGGTGGATGGCTGGGTACATGTGTACCATTTACCTGTGGATGGCAGCAGAATGCACCATGGGAAGAAGGCAGGTTGTGGAGACCGTGTTCTGCTGGGAAACCTTGGGTCCTGGCATTCATGTTTGTTACTTTGACATGTACCAGCTAACTAGAGGTTGTTGCATACCATGTACACCCCTTCATGGCAATGGTGTTCCCTGATGGCAGTGACCTCTTTCAACAGGATAATGCACCCTACCACACTGCAAAAACATGTTCAGGAATTGTTTAGGAACATGACAAAGAGTTCAAGATATTGTCTTGACCTCCAAACTCCCCAAATCTTAATTCAATTGAGCATCTGGATGTATGGAAGCCCCACTAAGCAACTTGTAAGACTGATGCTAATGTCTTGGTGTCAGATTCCACAGGACATGTTCAGAGGTTTTGCGGAGTCCATCCCTTGATGCATCAGAGCTGTTTTGGCAGCATGAGTGGTACCTACACAATATTAGACAAGTGGTTTCAGTGCTGTGGCTGATCAGTGTATGTGTGTGTGTGTTTTTATATAACATACAACATCTAGTGCACTCACTTATTCATTAAACAGCTATTTCAAAGCTCACAGAATACAATAGTCTTCTTTAAAAACATTTAAATGGACAAAAATAATGGTGTTTTTTTCACAGTATTTGATCATTTATTGCATATGCCTGTCACATAGTCCAAGTACCCGATCCTTGGCCAGTCCTATCATAGGAGGATCTATCAGGTGTGTGCAGCCTGTTTGGTGTATGTGTGTATGTATGTATATATATAATATTTGGGAGTCTACGCCACCTCCACCTGTCATAGATGCCTAATTCTTATATTGGCTCCCAATAGTCCCAGCATTTGGCAGGACAATTACTATTTTGGGGTCCTGTTTCTACATTCCCAATTAGTTCATTGCGATATACTTTCAGCAAAGTAAAAGTCAGAAAGTGGTATTCTCACAATGAAAGAGTTTATATAAAAATTACAAAGGAACCTGCTAATAGATGCAGAAATCCATTCAAGGATAAATCATGGTTCCATTTAGATTTACTTGACAAGCTCAGTAATAACCAAAATTGATTCAATTCAGAAGCAAAACAACTAAATTACTGGTCGATAAACTTTTTCTGTCAGCAAATGGCTTATGATATATAAGCAGCTCGATCTTGAGCAGCCTCATTCTGTGGTTCTTGAAATATATAGTACATCCCTCTGCTACTTTCAATGTGAGATCACACTGATATCCCAGCAAAATAATTATCAAGCTCAGAGATGAATGTGTTTGTACCCAAAATGCATTTCCCAAGACATCTCATTTCACCAAAAGATTGTGAGAAGGACTATCAATCCTACTTTAATACGTGTACTCTGTGTGTAATGTCTCCTGCAATAAAGAGCATTTATTGACCCAAAGTCTCCTATGCTGCCTTCTTACACGGTGTTCAGATAGATTTAGGGAATTCATTCACAGCTGTCTGTTTCTCAGACTTTAAAATAATTTATTGTTTTCAGGTGTGATGCACTTACCTCAGCAGAAGGGATGTATTTTGTAGATCTATGTTTGACGTGACTATCCTACCCAACTATTTTAGTTCAGGAATAAACCGTCAGAAATGATGTATTACTGGACCTTAGAATAGCTGGGTTTAACATAAAAATGAGAGAAAGCGTAAAACAAGTCAAGATCATGGTACCAGAAATATGGAAATACGATTTAACTAGCCAAATCAGGATTAAAGAAATCAGAAGGGTAAGTGTAACAAGTCAAAATTGAAAAACCAGGAAATCAAGGAACAATATAACACACTATGCTAGGAACCAAGAGGGCAATGACAAATGGCGCAAAACTTTATTTAAACCCTATGGTGGACACTGACTTGCCACATCACCTCTGTGACACGAAAAAGTGCTGGAATGTGGTCGCTGTGATGACGTGGCACTGCCTATACGATATTTTAGCATGAGAGGTTGGTGAGAAAAATTACTCTTAAAGCTAGCAGGTACCCTGATATATATGTCGAAAAGAAAAGAGAAACTTAAATTATAACATTAAAAGTAGCTTCAGCAATTCATTACGATATTTGATTGGTTGGTAGTTTAGTTTGCATGTGCAATGGGAATCATGTTGGGTAAACTCCTGGGATATTCATGGTTATGTGGAAACCCATATACAAAAAACATACCTAACTAGGTCATTGCATGTTAAACATTAAACTATTAATAACATAATGTAAAAGTAGAAGAAAGAGAAAATGTAAAACATGTCAACAAATATAATGCTTGATTTAATCAAGTGGCTCAGGTCGATGTGCACCCAGTCTCTCTCCACTCCTGGGGATAAAGGGTGCTGTTCTCTCAGGATCCCAAGTGTGTGGGGCTGAATGGGTTGCAAAGTTGAAGGTGGTGGTGGTGGGGAGGGTTCGGGGGGGAGAAATGAGGCGGCCTCATTCAATGAAGTGAGTCTCAGCATATTGCCCTCCTTGATGACAGTGAGGGATCTTGGCAAAGGCCAGCAAAACTCCACTCCAGCCTGACATAATTGGCTTGTAACAAGGCCAAAGGACATCCTCCATTGTAATGTATTTCTCATCAGGTCCTGAAAGAACATCAACTAGGAGGACGGTCATACGGGATTTTGCCCCTCAACACTGCCAGGATACGATTTTTTTCTGTCAGAAACCGACATCGGGTTATAAAATCCTTGGAGGCTGTAGATGGAGCCTGTCTAGGCATATTAATTCTGTAGAAGCCATCAAACATAAATTTTTTTCTCCTGACTGTGCGGCAAGATCATGACCATGAGACGTCATAAGTATTGGGGTAATGCGGTTGGGTCAACAGAATCAGGGATTCCACCGAATTTTAATATTTGTGTGTCTGTTGTGGTCCTCTGCCAGGTCTGCACTCATTGTCAGGGTTTTTTGGAAAGACTGCAGTTGGTGCACAGTCTCTTTCAGACCTTGTACCTCTTGTTGTAAATCCAGGATATCTTCCTCTGAGGTCTGTGTCCGCGCAGTCACCACCTGAACCTCACATCAAAATCCACCATGAACATCTTTCTCAGGTCCCAAAGTAGGTTGGATATATCCTGCTTGTATATACTATATAGTGTCCAGTGCATCCCATTCCTTCTGCTCCACAGGTGGTGTGTCAGATGTGGAGAAGGCCTTTGTATCTGCCTGGATAGTATAAAGGCTGGACAGGCTCTGGTCATGGTCCGACCAGGCTGCCATCTTGGAGGCCATGGGGCGATGTAGTATGGCTTCAATATCCTGGGATTCCTTAATCATTTCTGGTTGTGGCCTCTGGTATTGCCTACTCAGGTTGTCTGCGCTGTTTGTAGGAGGCCAAGATTGAGTGGGGGAGATGCAGAGTGTCAGCCTGTGTCTCTAGTTTCCCCTACGTGGCCCCTCTTTCCTGATTGCGAGAACAAGAAAAGCATTGGCTCACCCTTAGGAGGTTCAGAGTTTAGTGGTAGATTGTGCAAATGGCACTGTGGGACCACGGATTGCAATGCCAGGAGCTCCAAAGAATGGTGTCCACTCAGCACAGACACCATTCTCAATCTACCACTAAACTCTAAACCTCCTAAGGGTGAGCTACAACTCGATATAAGCATTATTCACCTTAAATTAGCATCAATAACCTTGCACCCATTAAAATCCTGTACCTACAGTGATGCTCTATATTTAACTCCGAACACTGTGAATTAAACTGTCATTGGCACAAATGATTAATTTAGAGGTATTTTTTTCTCTTACATTATTACTGGGGACCCCCAACTAACAGTGAAAGAACGCCTAAATCAAACTGTGTGCTCTAGTAACACCACTGCCTATGGTTATATTAACAGAGAATATGATTCTGCCAAAGTATTCCTTTAAAATGTCTTGTTTATCATTTGCTTTTTGTGATGAAGATTGTTTGTAGTGTTGACTTTTTTTTTTTAACTTTGTTTAAAAAAATTAAACTTATATATATATATATATATGTTTATTTTATATGCCAACTGCAGTCATACCCTAAATTACTTATGGGTCCTTCCTGTTTATTTTTAATATTATGCTGACTAGCTTCTGTACAATACTATAGGTCTTATCAAATAACATCAGTTTGCATTCACTTTATTCTTGTCATGGGCCATACCCTACAAACACCATGAAACGTTCTTTCATATATTTTCCAATAGTTAGAGGAATACTAGAGGACAGTGTTGTGTTTTGTATTATATTGTTTTCACTTATGCATTATCTTGTGCATAGAAGAAATTGGGGGTCATAAAGCAATGATTGATAACTTTTGGCATTCTTGTCTGTTGAAGACTTAATGTGCCAGAGTTGTGAAGCATTAAGAGAAACCTGATCCACAAATATATGGAATGCTAAAAGTTACCCTTTACTGGTTGAGAAGCCTGATAAATTCCATGAGATGCATGGATACATTTTCCTGCCACAGTGACCACCAATAGCGGCACATATCAAATGATGTACACCATGATCTCTGATATAGGACCATATTTGACACATACCACCTTCTAGTTATCTGTTGTTTTTATTTATTTATTTTTATATTCTTGTATTCAAATCTTCAAACCATTTGCCCTGTGCCGGCATCCACAATGTATAAGCAGAGCATGAACCCAGCAGAGAAATGCATGCAAAAATTAACTGAACTGTTCTAGAATTCGAGTCCTGCAAGTTTACATAGGGTTTTCCTTAAACCTGTTACACAGCAAGAATTTTGTCTGCTCCTGCAGAGGTGATGACTGGAGTTGGAAACCATCCCACACGTTCTGGATGCATTTTAGGATAAATAAATCAACTCTATCAACATCCTCATTTTGGCCCTACCTGTGGTAGAGCTGTAAGCTAAATTTATGTTGCCATTAAAATTGGATATCGCCTTGTGCTTGGCAGCAATGCACAAAAGGGGCACAGAAAGCCACCAATATTGGCACAGTTTCTTTACAGGCTTTTGATATATTATAAAATTGTCTGTCATTGCATGCACATTTTATGCATAGTCCATTCCCAAATTCACTTGCTAACTCCTGAGTTGTTCTGTCTGGCCATTCCTAGATATTAATTAGCCCTCTCTATTTTCTATCTCTTTGAAAACTAAATTGTATATAAAAGTGCACGTGCTGCTGAATTAAAAATGAATAATATAATATCTCATAGCTTTATATATTAGCTGATGTTAAATCACACACAGGAGGGGTCTTGCTGATAGGAGGCTAGTTATCCTATGGCTCCCAAAGTAGCACGCCCCCTTGTCAAAGATACACAGAAGTGGCACAGGAAGCAGCATCCCTATCTTTCGCAGGGACCAGATGGTACTTGAACACAAAGGAAATAAGTGTAAGACAAACAGTGTAACGCCTAAGGCTGTGAGAGATATAGCAGGTGGGAGACACAAAGAGAGCAACAGATACAGACAAAAAGACAGAGGAAACCAGAGGAGCGCGGAGATAGAATGCTAAATGTTCCTTTGCCATCTGTTCTCTACCACATTTTTGTCTCAACTTACATGGGTGCATAGATATTAGTGATAATGAACTTGGGGATAGTATTCAGCTGATGGAAAGTCACTACCAGAAAGCAAGCGAAGTCAAAGACGTTTTTAAAGGAAATGTGTCGCAAAAAATAACTTCCTTTTTATAAAATGCTGAGTGTTATAAAAGCACTCCATTTTCTAAATTAAATTCTTTGAAATAATTTTTTGTACTTATTTGATCAATACTGCTCTGTACTCTTGTAATGTTAAAAATGTGGTTTTATATACCTATAAACCACAAGTAAATGGCAATATTTAGAATTTTATCTAGAAAAACGTGTCAGTAAGTAGCAATTGAGGGTTTTTAAATGAACCGGTAAGTTGTTGCGCTAAGAAGACTTCAGGTCCAAGGCTTGCATTGCTCATCATTTTAATAATCCATTATTTTATAGAGTCGCCAGATTTGATTGTTGTAGATATGAAGTAATGATTTGGGCCCAGCTCTTTGAACTAAAATGCATTCATAACTTTACTGAATAGCTAAATTTGTTAATACTTGCCAAGTAAGTGGCATTGACCAACATCACTAGTTGAACAGTTTAGTTGAGTTTATTTTAGATTTGCCTGAATTCTCATTCATTTTGTGTAACTAACAATTTAGTTCCAGTCATAACTGGCATGTCAGTACTGGAATGTAGAGCTTAGTATAAGATGTGTTTTACAGGTTCAACTTTCTTGTGCTTGCTGGATGTTGTGCCAATCAAGAACGAGAAAGGAGAGGTGGTTCTCTTTCTTGTCTCCCATAAAGACATTACAGATGCAAAGACCCGAGCTGGGACAGAGAGCTGGAAAGACTCAGGTATGACATCAGACAATTTCATCGAGTGTTTTTTTTTATTTTTATTTTTTTTTTGTGGGTAACCTGTTGATCATAACTTTTCTTGGCAGGAAACAGAGAGCATCATGGACGAGCAACAGGAAAAGGTTTTAACGCTAATCGTAGAAGGAGTAGAGCAGTGCTCTACCATCTGTCTGGGCACCTGCAAAGGCAGAACAGAGCCAATGCCAAAATTGGAAAGGTAATCCATAGGTATTCTTATCATAGCTGGTATATTAACAGCATGGCTCGTATTTGATTTAACTCTTTCAGAGGCAAAATGATTGCATTAGTCAAATCTTGTTACCAATGCCCAGAGCATTTAATGGCAGTTACTAATAGTGCATTGAAAGATCATTGTTTTATTGTCATAAACCGCTTCCTCTGAGCGGTCTGCTCAGCTCCCTCGCGCGCCGCAGAGTGAGGCTGGGAGCCGGAAGATGACGTCATATTCCAGCTCCCAGCCTCACTCTGCGGCGCGCGAGGGAGCTGAGCAGAGTGCTCAGAGGAAGTGCTCCCTCGCCAGCCACCCGCCCAGTAGCCCGCCCATCAGCCCGACCGGCAGCCACTGGACCACCAGGGAGAAAGAGGAACCCCCCCCCACCAGCACTCCCAAAGGTAAGGAGGCGGGGGGGGGGTTAAATTAAAAAATGTGAGTGATTGTGTGTGTGTGTGTGTCTGACTGTGTGTGTGTGTGTGTGTGTGTTTGTGTGTGACTGTGTGTTTGTGTGTGACTGTGTGTGTGTTTGTGTCTGTGTGTGTGTCTGACTGTGTGTGTGTCTGACTGTGTGTGTGTCTGACTGTGTGTGTGTGTGTCTGACTGTGTGTGTATGTGTGTGTTTGTGTCTGACTGTGTGTGTGTGTGTGTTTGTGTCTGACTGTGTGTGTGTGTGTGTGTGTGTGTCTGACTGTTTGTGTGTATTTAGAAGGTGGGGTGGGGGGCAGGGGCGTATTAGCCGCGAGGCAAACAAGGCATTTGCCTTGGGCGGCATTTTTCAGGGGGCGGCAAAAAACGCCGCCCCCCAAATGCCCAGGGCAAATGTCTTGTTAGCCTCGCGGCTAACAGACATTCTGGGCGCTGGGCGGCAGTGGCTGCAGCGCTGGGCGGGCGAGCGGGCGGGCGGCCGGCGAGGGAGCTCTTCCCCTGAGCGCTCTGCTCAGCTCCCTCGCGCGCCGCCAGCAGAGTGAGGCTGGGAGCCGGAATATGACGTCATCAACCCTGCTGGCGGCGCGCGAGGGAGCTGAGCAGAGCGCTCAGGGAAAGAGCTCCCTCGCCGGCCGCCCGCCCGCCCAGCGCTGCAGCCACTGCCGCCCAGCGCCCAGGGAGAGGAAGAACCCCCCCCAGCATTACCAAAGGTAAGGAGGCTGGGGGGGGGGTTAAATAAAAAAACAAAAAAAAAAAAGCACTAGTGTGTGTGTGGATGTCTGTTAGTGTGTATGTATGTTAGTGTTAGTGTGTGTGTGTGTTAGTGTGTATGTTAGTGTGTGTTAGTGTGTGTGTTAGTGTGTGTATGTTAGTGTGTGTTAGTGTGTGTATGTTAGTGTGTGTGGATGTCTGTTAGTGTGTGTCTGTTAGTGTGTGTATGTTAGTGTGTGTAAGTTAGTGTGTGTGGATGTCTGTTAGTGTGTGTCTGTTAGTTTGTGTCTGTTAGTGTGTGTATGTTAGTGTGTGTATGTTAGTGTGTGTCTGTTAGTGTGTGTGTCTGTTAGTGTTAGTGTGTATGTATGTTAGTGTTAGTGTATGTATGTTAGTGTTAGTGTATGTATGTTAGTGTTAGTGTGTGTGTGTCTGTTTGCCTGTGAGTGTGTGTGTGTTTGCCTGTGAGTGTGTGTGTCTGTTAGTGACTGTGTGTCTGTTAGTGACTGTGTGTTTCTGTTAGCTAGTGAATGCGTATCTGTCAGTGAATGTGTGTGTATTTAGAAGGCGGAGCAGGGGGGAAGGTTGGGTGGCGGTTGCGCGGGTGGGGGTGGCGCGGGGGGGGGGTGCCTGAGTTTTGTCCTGCCTAGGGCAGCACAAAATCAGGATACACCACTGGTGGGGGGGAAGGTTTGGGTGGAGCTGGCGCAGGGGGAGGCGGGTGCCTAAGTTTTGTCCTGCCTAGGGCAGCATAAAACCAGGATACACCACTGGTTCCCCATAGGATTGGCTGAGACTGACAAAGAGGCAGATCAGGGGCAGAGCCAGCACAATTCAAACACAAACCTGGCCAGTCAGCATCTCCTCATAGAGATGAATTTAATCAATGAATCTCTATCAGGAAAGTTCAGTGTCTGCATGCAGAGGGAGGAGACACTGAATGTTTGGATGCATTTCAGGCAGCCATGACCCTGGAAGGATCTCGGACATCTGAGAAGTGGCCAGTGAAGTTATCACTAGGCTGTATTGTAAACACTGCATTTTCTCTGAAAAGACAGTGTTTACAGCAAAAAGCCTGATGGTAATGATTCTACACACCAGAACAAATTCAATAAGCTGTAGTTGTTCTAGTGACTATAGTGTCCCTTTAAAGGACCACTATAGTGCCAGGAAAACATACTCGTTTTCCTGGCACTATAGTGCCCTGAGGGTGCCCCCACCCTCAGGGACCCCCTCCCGCCCGGCTCTGGAAGGGGAAAGGGGTAAAAACTTACCTTTTTCCAGCGCTGGGCGGAGAGCTCTCCTCCTTCTCTCCGCCTCCGATCCTCCTCCTGGGCTGAATGCGCACGCGCGGCAAGAGCTGCGCGCGCATTCAGCCCGTCGCATAGGAAAGCATTTACAATGCTTTCCTATGGACGCTTGCGTGCTCTCACTGTGAAAATCACAGTGAGAAGCACGCTAGCGCCTCTAGTGGCTGTCAATGAGACAGCCACTAGAGGATTAGGGGGAAGGCTTAACCCATTCATAATTATAGCAGTTTCTCTGAAACTGCTATAATTATGAAAAAATGGGTTAACCCTCTAGAAGGACTCCGGCACCCAGGCCCGACTACATCGGGCACACCGCAAATGCCCGGTGGGTCAGCGGTGTCCGCGGGGCCGAGGTCAGTAGGTAGTACCCAGGATCTCCCGCCGGTTCATGGTGTCGGCACTCCCAGCCGCCCCGCTTGTTCGAAGCCACGACGTGGGTCGGGTGGGGAGATCAAAGATCTCCCTCACCGGCCCACATGCGGCCGCCGGCGGGGAGGGAGGGAGACAGCCAGCTAGGCTGGAGAGAGGACCCGGCGGAGCTCTAATTTGCGGCTCCGCCGGGATCCTCTCGCGAGATCCGGCGCGTTGCCATGGCAACGACCGGATCTCGCGAGGAGTTCACTCACCCACGAGGACCACCAGGGAACACTGCCTCCTCGCCTCCAGTCCCAGAGTGCCGGTCCCCCCCTCCCAGGCTAAAGGTAAGAAGGGAGGGGGGGAATAATACCTGTTTTTTTTTTATTATTTACCCCCCCTACATACACACAATAACATTTATACAGCACTCTCACACCCATCACACACAGCACTCTCTCACACCCAGCACTCTCTCACACCCATCACACACAGCACTCTCTCACACCCATCACACACAGCACTCTCTCTCACACAGCACTCTCACACCCATCACACACAGCACTTTAACACACACAGCACTCTCTCACACCCATCACACTCACAGCACTCTCACAGAGCACTCACACACACACAACACTCTCACAGCACTCTCACACCCATCACACACAGCACTCTCACACCCATCACTCTCACACCCATCACTCTCACACCCATCACACACAGCATTCTCTCACAGCACTCTCACACCCATCACTCTCACAGAGCACTCACACACACACAGCACTCTCACACCCATCTCACATACCCATCTCACACAGCACACTCACATCCATCACTCACACACAGCATTCTCACACCCATCACTCACACACGGCATTCTCCCATCCATCACTCACACACGGCATTCTCCCATCCATCACTCACACACAGCATTCTCACACCGTTCACTCACACACGGCACTCTCACACCCATCACTCACACCCATCACACACCGCACTCTCACACACACATACTGCACCCCTCACATACACACAGAACCCCCCCAACACACTGCACCACAAACATACACAATACTTCCAAATATATATATATATATATATATGTATACACGCACACACTACACTCTTAAAGGACCACTCTAGCCACCCAGACCACTTCAGCTTAATGAAGTGGTCTTGGTGCCAGGTCCTTCTAGGGTTAACCCATTGTTTTATAAACATAGCTGTTTCAGAGAAACTGCTATGTTTATCAATGGGTTAAGCCTTCCCCCAAAGCCTCTAGCAGCGGTCTCATTGACAGCCGCTAGTGGTGCTTGCGTGCTTTTCACTGTGAAAATCACAGTGAGAGCATGCAAGCATCCATAGGAAAGCATTATAAATGCTTTCCTATGCGACCGGCTGAATGCGCGTGCAGCTCTTGCTGTGTGTGCGCATTCAGCCGACGGGGCGGATCGGAGGACGAGAGCTCCCCGCCCGGCGCTGGAAAAAGGTAAGTTTTAACCCCTTTCCAGAGCCGGGCGGGAGGGGGTCCCTGAGGGTGGGGGCACCCTCAGGGCACTATAGTGCCAGGAAAACGAGTATGTTTTCCTGGCACTATAGTGGTCCTTTAATATACACACTCTGGATCCCCTATACACACACTAGATTCCTTGTAAGCAAACACATTCTACACCCCTAAACACACACACACACTATAGCCTGTATGCACACACTTGCTATATCCCCAATACACACATTCTCTACAGCCCATAGCCACATATGCATCACATTACACCACAAACGCAACACAACTTAAACCGACCTTATTACACAATACCACACCACGACCAGCTCACTCTACACACACGCAATACCACAAGCAGGCTCCAAACACATGCACAATACTCTTTCCTGGCCTTTTGTCTCCTGGTATCCATTTATAGACACCAGAGACAAATTGCAAGGAAACACAGTGCAAGCATGTTATTAAATTTGCTTGCACTGTGCAAAACAAATACAGGACTTTTTTCTCATGCTAGAGCTCTTCAGCAGAGCTCTGCACATGGTCTGCCCTGGAAGAGCATTGAACCAACATGCTCACTTTGAGAGGAGGCGTGTCTGTCATTGGTGACAAAACACACCTCCTCTGCCCCGCCCCCTTTTTAGTGGGCCGCTGTGTTAAAAAAATGCCCGGGCCGAATTTTTCTCCCAGTCCGGCCCTGCCTGGCACCCAGACCACTTCATTAAGCTGAAGTGGTCTGGGTGCCTAGAGTGGTCCTTTAAGACTTATTATGATCTATATCATGTACCAGGAGGGAAAATAAAAATTTTCAAACAATTGCTTTGCTGTGCTATACTCTCTCCACGTTATGTGTTAATTGGTTTACACGTGGGTAGACTGCAGTAAAGGTGTTTCATAACATCCACCATTCTACAGCCTGACCAATCTTTATCTTTCCATTCCACTATATCCACAGGGGGTATTTGGTGAGAAGCCTAGAGTTCCTGAATACAAGGTGGTTTCTATGCGCAAGTCTCCTTTTATTCTCCTTCACTATGGCACCTTTAAGTCTTGCTGGGACTGTTTGATCTTGCTAGCGACTTTCTACGTGGCAGTGACTGTTCCATACAGTGTATGCTTCAGCAGCGGGAAAGAGGAAGGCATTGCGAGTCCCCGTAGCCCACCCAGTCCCTGCGATCTCACTGTAGAAGTCCTCTTCATACTAGGTAAGTAATGAGCGAGGGCTTTTAATAAAACCTAAGGAAATACAGAGTACTGCTCATGCTTTGTTACCAATGTTTTTAGAAGTGCCAACTGTTTCACATTTAACCCTTTCACTAAGAGGTGTCTGAAATAAAGGTTCATCACTAAGAACACAGGTAGTTCATTCAGGTCACTCAGATTTAATATTTTTTTTATAAGTGCCACACACAAGCTGCCAACATGTTGGCCTAATCCATTTTCCCGACAGTTAATTTATGAGACGACTTCTCTTTTGTGTCTGGGCCTGGACCAATTTTCTGGCTGCAATACAGTGAGAGATTTTGGAAACCTCCGTATGTTTCTGAGCATCAAAGTGGGCCCTGATTTCCTAAAATATTCTAAAAGAGGCTGAATTCTGTTTGTTCTTTAAACTTAATGAAATTTGTGGTAACTGTGTAGCGGAGCTGGTCCTTCTGGCTGTCTTGAGTCATTAAACCTAACTTTAAACCATGCACAAAAATGTGATAGTGTGTGACCGTTTCTGTGCAAATTGTCCAAAATGTCTCCCATTTACATTACTGTCTCTGTCAACAGATATAGTTCTAAATTTCCGTACAACATTCGTAAGTCAGTCCGGGCAGGTAGTATTTTCATCGCGCCTCATCTTCATTCACTATATCAGGACTTGGTTCCTTTTGGATTTATTGGCTGCACTTCCTGTGGATCTGCTCTACAGCTTCAAAGTCAATGTGGTGGGTTTAATCTTCTTCACACTGTTTTGCATTATCGGCTATTCCTTCCATTTATGTGTCTGAATGGCCAATCAATCATTATGGACCTCATTCTCCTCAACCTACTTTTCTCCTCTTTACATTTTTGTGTTACTCTTTAAATCCTCACAAAACTTGGTTTCGATAAAATTTATGGTTTGGGCATTTCACAAAACTACCTTAGACTGGCTCAGTAAGAACAATGTAAGTGACTTTTAAAGAAAAATGCTTAAACTAAACAGAATTGTATGAAAGAGAGCACTTTTGTCAGCTTGTTATTCCTGGTGCATTTTCTGGTTACTGACCATGATTTAAATTATATCTGCGTGGTTTGAAACATAACCAAGTCAGCCAGATTGCACCATTGGTTTCTAATATGTTAATATTATTTAGTATGGTCTCTTCTTGCTCTACTCATTACAGATTTTCTGTAAAATGTAGAGCTTACTGCAAATAAATATAAAATGGGTCAATTCCATAATTTTTACTAACACATATTATGAGTTTCTCACTCATTTTAAGGGACACTATAGTCACCAGTGCAACTACATGTATTCCTGACCCTATAGTGTTAACACCACCATCTAGCCCCCCTGGGCCCCTCATGCCTCCATAAATATAGCAAAATCTTACTGTATTCAAGCCAAAAGCTGTAACTCTACATACTGTTTGCCTAAAAAAAACAAAAAACAAGCTGTCTGCTGACATCATTAGAAGTGGTGGCCTGATCCAATCACAGTGCTTCCCCATAGGATTGGCTGAGACTGACAAAGAGGCAGGTCAGGGGCAGAGCCAGCACAATTCAAACAGAGCCCTGGCCAATCAGCATCTCCTCATAGAGATGAATTGAATCAATGAATCTCTATGAGGAAAGTTCAGTGTCTGCATGCAGTGGGAGTGTCTGCATGCTGCCCTGTGCTCTGCTGACAGCAGATCTGAGTGAATTGAGGAGTTTTATGCCTCAATCAACTCGGAAGTCCCTCTGGTGGCATTCTGAGTGACTGCAACTGTAGGTGTTCCTAGCTTTCAATGTAAACACTGTATTTTCTCAGAAAATAGTGTTGACATGAGAAAGGCTGCAGGGAGCTATAGCTCTCACCTGAACAACCTCATTAAGCTGAAGTTGTTCAGGTGGCTATAGTGTTCCTTTAAGAGTATTCCTAGGGAAAATGTCTGAATGACCTGTGGACAAGAAACCATGCTTAAAGGGACACTATAGTCACCCAGTCCACTTCATCTCATTGAAGTGGCGTTGGTGCAGTTGCCCTGTCCTTTTAACCCTGCTTGGTAAAACATTGCAGTTTTTTTAGAAACTGCAATATGTACATTGCAGGGTTTGATCCACCTCTAGTAGCTATCATACTGACCGCAAGTAGAGGTGCATTTTCTGTACTGACAATTTAAAACTCTTTCATGTGGTGCAGAAGCCCATAGGAAAATGAACACAGTAAAGGAGGAGACCATATTTAAAAGAAGAAAAACTACCACAGAGGATGTAGTCTTAAATTAGAGGGACAAAGGTTTAAAAATAATATCAGGAAGTATTACTTTACTGAGAGGGTAGTGGATGCATGGAATAGCCTTCCAGCTGAAGTGTTAGAGGTAACACAGTAAAGGAGTTTAAGCATGCGTGGGATAGGCATAAGGCTATCATAGCTATACGATAAGGCCAAGGACTAATGAAAGTATTTAGAAAATTGGGCAGACCAGATGGGCCGAATAGTTCTTATCTGCCGTCACATTCTATGTTTCTATGAAAGCACTGGATATAATGCTTTCCTATGGGGAAGCTTAAATGCACATTAGGTCCCCTATGCTCCTCTATTAGAAGCATTGAATTGGACCATTGCAGAGGAGGTCATGCCTTCTCCATGATCCATGTCGTGGGAGGCGGAGAGGTGAGCAGCTGGAAAAAGACAAGCAAATAATTTTATTTTATTAATTTTTATGGCAGACTTTACTACAACTAGGGACAGAGGAACTATAGCATTCGGAATACAGGTCTGTATACCTAATGCTACATTGTTCCTTTCTAATAAATATATATTAAACTCAATATCCCTTATCGGTATGGTAGCTCCTATCTATGCTACAGACAATGATAAAGCATCTGGCTTCCATTCGAACTCTTCTTATAAATTGTTCACTTTAATACCCTGCTACTTATTCCTCAAATAATAATCTTGTATCAACCATTAGCGTGCCATTCATGTCTTTCTGTTTTCCTTTTTAGTCTTTTTTATTCCACCTTCATGGTTTTCTCTTTACTGCTTATAAAATTATAATTCACCTCTCCTTTTATTCAAAGTATTTTGGAGCTCATCTCCTGAAGGCCGTGCGCTTGCTGCGTCTGCTGCGCCTCTTGCCAAGACTGGATCGCTATTCTCAGTATAGTGCGGTGGTTCTGAGCCTCCTTATGGTTGTATTTGCTCTCCTGGCGCACTGGGTTGCCTGTATTTGGTATTTCATTGGCCAGCAAGAGATTGAGAGCAGCCAGTCAGAAGTACCAGAAATTGGTAAGGACATCAATGCATTGCTTCATAATGGCTGCATTATTAATTGACTAAAGTTTATTCCACTCTGCACCTGTAGAACATCCCTATTATCCACATTGAGAAAGAAAACACTGTCTGTTGAAGGGAAAATACTGCATCAAAGAAAATAATTGGTACTTTGCAGTATAGTACATAATACAACCAATGAACAATATCCAAGTTTGGTATACTAATGTCAAAGTATAAATTTCCACTTGTGTATAGCTGTGTGGACTGTTAGGGCTGCGGTTGTCCGACAATGTAAATGAAGTGTTAAGCACTTTGTAAATGTAACACTGTGTGGTCTGCTGCTGTAGCACTATTGCATCAGTTATTGACACATTATTATGGTTATTCACTAAAGTGAGCATTGCCGGGTATTTCAAATTGAAAGTAGCTCAGTCATGTCTCCACTTTGCCTTTACTTAATTTATCTTTTCTTCCTTGTCCTCTGTCCGTTTTTGTTTTGTTTTGTTTTTAAACTCGCAAAGTTTAATTTTCAATGAAATTTGTTACAGGAAACTCCAGTCACCAGAACGACTACAGCTTAATGTATTGTTTTTGGTGTGTATATCATGTCCCTGTAGGCTTTTAGAGAAAAGGCAGTGTTTACATTGCTGCCTAGTAACCCCTCTTGTGACAGTCACTCAGACGGCCACTAGAGGTGATTCTTAGTCCAGTGCTGCACCTATTTTCAGTGTCTCCACACTCTGAATGGAGGAGCTAGATGTTCCCTGTAGAGATGCATTGATTCAATGTATCTCTATGAGGAGATGCTGATTGGTGCAACATTTTGTTGTGCATCTGCAATAGTCTCCCAATTCTTTCCTATAAGAAAGTTTGGTTTGGCTGAGATCATCAATATAGATGATCTCAGCCATGGGGTCCGGGCCAGCCACGATGGGAACAGTATGGCATGGAAAGAGGGTGAGTAAAAACACATTTCCCATGTTATCAGAGGAGGGAGCGGTAACCTACACAGATACACTTACTAACAGACACACTCCCTCACTGACAGACACACACATTTTCTCACAAATTTTCTCTACATTTTCTTACCACCAGGACCTGAGCATCCATTCAATAAACATCTGCTTATCTCAACTTGCATGCAGATGTTTATTGAATGGATGCTCAGGTCTTGGTGGTAAGATAATGTAGAGAAAATGCCCTGCTACTGATGCAAAAACTTCATAAAAATAGATTTACAAAAGAAAACCATGGTGCACAGATTAGGTATATGTATTTATTAAATGCAAAATGTAATTAAAATACTGGATTGTCCTTAAATCCCAAAACAGGCGTAAGAAGGGTTTATATTTTTCTGTCATCAGGCAGATTCTAGATCCTTTGACAATTATCCATCTTTAAGGTGATGCTCCATCAGTTCGATGGAGTAAAACCAATAAAATAGCACTTTGGTGAAAACTGGAAACATGAGTGATGCTAAAAACATAAGATCAGCAGACATTAAATTGAACTGGGAGCTGCTATAAAAGTACATTTGTATACTTTGTAATGCAAGTTTGTTTGGAACATAAATAACTAGAGTGTTGAAAGTGGCATTTTATTGGAATTGCTGGTCACATGACCTGCAGTTTCCATTAACATCCATATAGTTATTGACTGGCTATGTGTTATGAAGCTGTATTTATGCAAACCGCAAGTCATATGATATGTGCATTCAATGAAAATATATATATGTTTTTTTTAAAAAGTAAACAACTTTGTTTTATTATTCTTCATGACTATGTAAAAGTTTCAGTATTTTTTTTTTTTTTATGCAGTTTTGTTCAATATGCTGTTTTTATTACTGTTATTCGGTCTGCTATCAATTGGATTAGCCATTAAATGACTAAATAAAGGGACACCAGCAATCTAGTTATGAAAGGACTTGCTAATATTGCATTATCTGACCAATATTTATGTCAGTGGGCATGTTTAGAATACCATCTCTGCAACTGTTTTCCGTAATGAACGGGAAATAATACACAGATCACCTCCTTGCAGTCAGAGAGCCCTAATCCCAGACAGAACTAGGACATACAGACCCAGGTCTGCTCAAGATTTGTGAGAGCTCACAAAGCCTTGGTTGGTATTGGAGAACAGCTTGAGCCCTTGCCCACTAAATGCACTGGAATGGCTACACTCTAATTCAATCACCAGACAGATACTGCTCACTCAGTCCAATCTCCTCTACAATGAAGGTCTGGTTCTTGATCAGGAGACCGACTCAAATAACTCCGTCACCCAACCCTCTCATAACACACAACCTTGAGCTAACAAAATCTCTCCCCATGGGAGAGTTAGCTTTCCTGGGCCCTGGTGCAGTAATACTGATTTGAGCAGTGCTTGGGACCATGGGACTCCAGAAACTGGAATATCTTATGGCTTCACGCACAGCAACCTTAATGGAGTAATTTAGATATGCACAGTTTAAACACTATTACAAGTCCATACCAAATAATTTCACACTATCAAGGGATAGCACTACATTTGAGGATCTGTGCATGAGAGGCAAACCAACTGAACGTGGCATATCGTTTATGTACCAACTCTTGCTCACACAAACTAGTACCGGCTCAGAAGCTTATCGGAGGAGAAGGGAGGAGGCTCTGGGGGTAGTCCAAAATCTTGATTCTTAATCATCGGAGCACATCATGCTCAAAATTTTAAGAGACAAACTATAAAAGGCTCTCTTTTTGGTATTAACCTGCACAAAATCTTTACCACACATTCTCCTCTGTGTTGGCATTGTGGTGAGTCACCTGGAACCCATTTCCCTATTTGGTGGTCATGCCCTGATATATATATATATACATTCTGAGAGGGGGTTAATTATACCATTGCAATAATTCTGGCAAAGACACCACTGTTACAGCTGGAGAATCTCATCCTACACCAGGCATAGGCAACGTTAGCACTACAGATGTTTTGGACTACACCTCCCATGATGCTTTGCCAGCATTATGGGTAAGAGCATTATGGTGGATGTAGTCCACAACATCTGGAGTGCCAAAGGTTGTCTACCTTTGTCCTACACCATTCTAGTCTTCCATTGTCTAAGAATAATAAAATAAATTATCTGGTTCCTCCTAAATGCAGCCAAATCTCTTATACCTCTTAAATGGAAAACCACATAAATCCCAACAATTCAACACTGGCTAGCTAAGGTTGCCAAGATAGAAGCAGCTGCTAGAGATACAAATGCCCATAGATGGTATCCTTGGCTAGAATTCATATCCTGTGAATAGGCAGGGGCTCCTGACAGGCAGAGTCAGAGGGAGGATGGGAGCTGTCCTGGTTCGGACATACAAAATTAAAACGCAATAGGGAGATGCCCAGCATGGAAGCACTCCCTTCTTAACTGTCTTCACTCTAACCTAGGACTAGCACGGGAGCTTTCTTAACTTCACTTAGCTTACTCAACTTCACTCAGCTTACTCATATCAACCTCTTCCAAGTCTCTTATCCTATTTGTACATTTCACCCTTAACCTCATTACTCTGATACTCTGGCCAACCCTGTATATTACTAGAGAAGGTCCCACTGGTCCCAAGAGTCATGTAGACAGGAATTCTGTTATACCTAAGAGACTAGAGGCAAGCGAATATGCTTCATATGAACACACTGCAGAACATTCTGTTTTAACTGGTCTTGATGGGGTTGACTCACTTGGTTGAACACCAAAATGGCTTTTCATTAATAATTATCACTGCTCCAGGTAACCAGTCAGTGGACCATTTTATAATTAAATGTATTTATACTTCTGTATTTTCCTTAATTTTTATTGTTATTTTTATTGTTATTCCTTTTATTGCCATTTATTATCTAGTCATTCATTTTGGTATATTCTATATATTTATTCTTTATTTTATATTTTTTTATTTCTAATATTTTAGTCACTAAGGCCTTGATTTTAATCCAAAAATATTAAGCAATTTAAAAAAGCTTATCAAAAATATGAAATCCAGGCCTAATGTGGAAGTTTTTTTTTTTTCATGCTAACCTGACATGATTTTAGATAATTCTTACTCCGTAACTAAAAATATTGTTTGTGGGTTTTTTCTAAATATATTACTAGCCACAAGACCTACAGCTTTCCATAATTTTCACAGGTTGGCTACAAGAGCTAGCTCGACGTTTGGAAACGCCGTATTACATGGGAAGGAGAAATGGAAGTCGGGAAGCAACACTTCAGGACAATGGGTCGACTTCCAATGGAACGAGTGTTGTTTTATTAGGGGGACCCTCTTCTCGGAGCTCTTATATAACGTCCCTGTACTTTGCACTCAGCAGTTTGACTAGTGTGGGTTTTGGAAATGTCTCTGCGAACACAGACACAGAAAAAATCTTCTCTATATGCATCATGATGATTGGAGGTAATAGGATAAACTACATATTAGTTGTAGTATAAGGACTATTTAGGATTAGAGTGGTGTTAAATTTAGCATTTGAATACAGGGGGTGTTTTTAAGATTATTGATTTTAGTGCTAAAGTTGCGTTAAAGGGAATCTATAGTGTTAGGAATTCAAACCTGTGATATCCTTCAGTGCTGGGTCGGTGCTCCGCTTCCTCCGACGTCACCCGACAGGGGGGGGGCACATGCACGGCGATTGCCACAGGTGTATTAGGCCCTCCCCGTAGGAAAGCATTTTATAAATTTTAAATATTTTTAGATGTTTTTATATAAAATAGATCAAATGAATAGCATAACAGAGTTGTTGTCAGAAATGTGATGTACTTGACAGAAGTGCACAGTGTGACAAAACCTTGTGTAAACTCTGATGTGTTGTCCTTCAACTGTATAGTTACTTTTTTGGGGGGTAAGTGGTTGTAGTACTTATCAGGCCATATTTTCCACTCACTCTTTATTATTTCCTCGTTTCAGCAGAATCCCTCTCCCATACTCTTTCTTCACACGTCTTTTCATTAATTAGTGGTTTTCAGTTCTTTGTTTATGCAGATTTTTCTATCTTTGCATGTGTGGGCCAAGAGTGGGCCATTTCCATGGAGACTTCTTGTGCATACGTGTGCGTGGGAGTGTGTGCATTTGGTGGCGGGATTCTCAATCTGTGTATTTATAGCTAGAATTTATGCCTAAAAGGTTAAAATATATATATATATATATCATTTCTTAGAACTCCAAAATCAACTTATAAACAAGTGCTCTTACCAGCTACTTTAGAAAACAATGCAAAGTCCGAGGTGACTTATGAGTCTGAAAGCAGTTTCAGTCTGCAGTTTAGCCTTTTATTTTATTTTAAATACTATTGTTTCTATTTTGGAAAAATTATCACCACCTTTCATTTGCAGCCTTGATGCATGCCCTGGTGTTTGGAAATGTGACGGCTATTATTCAACGCCTGTACGCAAGACGCTTTCTTTATCACAGCCGTACTCGTGATTTGCGAGATTACATCCGCATTCATGGGATTCCCAAGCCCCTTAAACAACGCATGCTAGAATACGTGCAGACCACATGGGCAGTAAACAATGGAATTGACACAAATGAGGTAAGTTCCATCATGCAGTTTAATGCACATACGATTGCAATGTTCAGCAAGGGTATATGCCATCGGGTCCCGCCTTAATGTGTTATTGAGTATAAATATACATAAAGCAATTAATTGATCACTCCTTGTAAAATGAAGAATATCCCCTTGTTTTTAACTTTAAATAAGCGAAACTTGAAAAAGATCTTTGGAAGCTCAAAACATTGCTGGTTTAATGTGACACTAGAGGCACCAAAACAACGTTGGCTTAATGAAGCAGTTTGGCTGTATAACTGATGTCTCTGAAGTCTCCCTGTTCAATTCTCTGCCATTTAGGAGTTAAATAAGTTTTGTTTCTGTTTACGCAGCCCTAGTTACATCTCCCCTGGCTGTGACTCACACAGCCTGCTAGGGAAAAAAAGGTTAAATTTTAATCTGATGGTAACTAACTTTAGAAATGTTTATCTCCTGCTCTGTAAATTAAACTTTAATTACACACAGAAGTCTCCTGCAAGGTCTAGCAAGCTATTAACAGTGCAGGAGATAAGAAATTCTAAATTAAACAGAATGTGCAATAAAGTGAGTTTAAACATTAGATCTCACTTTACAGGAAGTGTTTAGGAAAGTTGTGCACATTATTTGCAGGGAGGTGTGACTAGGGCTGCATAAATAAAGTAATTTAACTCCTACATGGCAGAGAATTGAGCAGTGAGACTGCAGGGGCATGATCTATACACCAACACTGCTTCATTAAGCTAAAGTTGTTTTGGTGACTATAGTGTCCTTTTAAGTGTCAAACAAGAGGAATTTTCTTCACTTTTCATTCACTGCTGGGTTGATTCTGTGTTTTTTAAACACAGTATTCAGCAGTTCACCCTTTATGTTATAAAGACTACATTTAACTAAAAATGCCTATAGATGCAAATTGCTAAACTATGCAATATGCTCTGTCATTTGTGCCTTTCACAAAATGCAAAGAATTGTATCTTGTTTAAGCTGCCAGTAATGTCTACTTTTCTTCATTTTTGTTACCACCCCTTCATCAATTATCACGTTCTTCATATTTCATGACTATTTATGACCCTACATATGAAGATCTAATGTAAAACACCAGAATATGCAAAAAAAAATAAGCATGACAATAGAAATTTGACATAAAAACAGAAATGACCAAATATTTTATTTTTTTGCTGCAGTTTCATCCATTCCCCTTGAATCTTCATTGTTTGTTTTCTTTTTCTCCTCTGTCATACCTGCAGCTTTTGCATAGCCTTCCAGATGAACTGCGCGCTGACATTGCTATGCATCTCAACAAGGAGTTTCTGCAGATGCCGCTGTTTGCCATGGCAAGTCGTGGCTGTCTGCGATCACTGTCCCTAAATATCAGACCTTCATTCTGTACCCCTGGAGAGTACCTGATCCGACAGGGCGATGCATTGGAAGCTTTATACTGTGTGTGCTCAGGATCCATGGAAGTCCTCAAGGATGGCGTTGTATTGGCAATATTAGGTGTGAAGGGAACCCGCAATATATTTTAAGTTCTAAACCAGATCGAAACATCGAAAAAAATGAGTGTCCCTGATCTTTTCACTTTTAACAAGAAATGCACAACCTGCATTTTTATCCAATATCTATGTCAAAAACAATAATGGTGCAATAAAAAATATGAATATTTAGAATGACACTAAATATAATGGAGAGGAAGATGATCCACTTGATGCAGAATACTGGAGAGATGTGTAAAACAGCAAACTGTACTTGTGCTGGTTAATCCACTAAAGTGTATTTTCTCTACATAATGGAACAGATTATAACAGATTGCACACAATTGACCTTAGACACATTGATTTTCCTGGTATAGTATAACTGACAAAATAATTCACTAACCATGGAAACTTGTACAATTAGTGAATTCAGTATTCTGCTCATTTCAATACAATGTTGTTTGGGTTTTTTGAAAAGTTGATATTTATGTCTCATCTCAAGTAATAGAATAAAGGTGTTTACTTCTCTGTAGGGAAGGGTGACTTGATTGGCTGCGAGGTCTCTCCTGTGGATACAGTGATTAAAGCGAATGCAGATGTCAAAGGACTTACATATTGTGACCTTCAAGGCATCAGTTTAAAGGGACTTCGTGACACGTTATCACTGTATCCGGAATATGCTCAGAAATTCACATGTCAGATCACAAACCAGCTCAGCTACAACCTGGGAGGCAGTAGATGTGAGCCCGAGGTGAGCAAACTCTGTAAAGCAGGGGTAGTCAACCTTTTAATACACACTGCCCACTTTTGTACCTTTGTTGATGGTAAAAGGGTTGTTCTTTTTAAATATGTACTTAAATTTGTCTATTTCCCCCTTTGTTTCTATTCTACTTTTTTCTATGTGTGTGTTGCTGCAGTGCATTTGTGAGGGGACAGTACGTGGTAAATATGTACTTAAATTTGTCTATTTTTCCCCCTTTGTTTCTATTTTCTATTCTACTTTTTTCTATGTGTGTGTGTGTGTGTTGCTGCAGTGCATTTGTGAGGGCACAGTGCGTGGTAACACGTGGCAATGCTCTGACCAGCCTGCTCACAGGAGAAACACAGAGCCTCAGAGTCTATTCCCTCTCTCTACTGGAACTAAGTGCCAGTGGACCGGTGAGAGTGATCTATGATCTTCTCACGAGCCCGAGAGGGCTTACAGGAAGGCTGGCTCTGCATGGGCCAACAGGGGAGATGAAAGAATCTGCCTTGGCCCGAAGTCATTGAGGCCGACTGGGCGTTTTCTGCAGAACCCACCACCACCCACCTGAAATTCCAAACCAGCTTGCATTTGGATTTCCCCATTGGAAAGCAGTATACATTGCTTTCATATGGTGATTCCGGTGGCGCTGGATGTCCTCGTGCATAGCGTGAGAACATCCAGCATCAGCTAGGCAACCAAAAGTCGCCTGACAACCTGGGAGTCCCTCTAGTGGCTGTCTGGTAGACAGCCACTAGAGGTGGAGTTAACCCACAGAGCTAATTATTGTAGTTTATAAAAAAAAACTGCAATAATTAGCTTTGCGGGGTTAAAGGACCTGGGACACTGCACCCAGACCACTACAATGACCTGAAGTGGTCTGGATGCCTATAGTGTCCCTTTAATGTCACATAAAACATGTAAATTAAATCTGATTGTAACTTCTGAGTCTGATACTCGAGTCAATTACATATCACTGTGATAGTCTAAATGTATGATAGGCAGAAGCATATTCATTCTTTTTTTTGTGTTTTTTTTTTAGACAGATGCCTACACTCAAGAGTCACCAAGGAATGTATCTTCCCAGGATAAAGACTCACATGTATTCTCAGGTCTCAGCACTTCTCTACTCACTCCAAAGAAATCTTCTCATCTCCACCTTTCCCCATCTCGGTTTTCTCACTGCAGCCCCCAGCACAAATCTGCAGAAGTAACACCTAAAAGCACACCGCGTCGGCTGATTGCTACAAAACTGCAGATACCATGTGTTTCCTACTCCAAACCACCAGAACTCAGTCCCAGGTAATGATTATTAAAGCTGGGGGTGTTGAAATGTGGTTCCTGATAAGTTGCTTGACTACTCCCATTCCTACAGGAATTTTGAGTCTGGCAACATCATGGGTCTTGACATTCAACATTCCAAATCTAAACCTAACATTGTTTGTTCTCTGTTCTTTGTAATGGAGTAAAATCAGCATACACTCATGTTTTCCTTAGGGTGGTAGATGGGATAGAAGAAAATTCTGACTCAACTCAACAAAAGTTCAACTTTCCAAACTTCAGTGCTCTTCAAGCTTCTCCAGGTAAGCTCACCAAAGACCAAAAAAATTGGCTTATGACATTGATCATTCAGGCATAAAATAATTTTAATACTCTAATCAACCAAGGAACCACCAGATTGACTGGTAGAGAGGTGGTAGTGAGACCGGGGCAGGAGTGAGTATGACTTCAACATTGCCTGAAGCACCAAGGAAGCACATACAAGTTACTTTGCATGACAGAGCAGAAGGATAGAAGTTGGCTCCATAGATAGTAACATGTCTATATAATTCTTTGAAGCTAGGCTATCAACATTTAGTTCTTGTACTATTCACCACCTTAAAAATTATAGGACTTTGGTAAAGGTTGGGTAGAAATTGTAAGGGCATTTGGGCCTTTTTGCTGCACAGTTAAGATACTGGTCTTATCCGATAACTTTAAAGGACACTCTAAGCAACATAAACCACTACAGCTCACTCCTAAATAGTGTGATAGTTAAACAGGGGATGGCATTATAACACTATAGACAACATATACACTGCAGCAAGCTCTAATGGTTTGTTACTTTGTGTCCCTTTAAATGTTTAAGTTGAATGGATACTCAAAACGTTTATTGTTACATTTTAAAAAGCCTTTCAGACATCTCTAATACTGCTGTTCATCCAAAACAACGTGATGATTTTCAGGGCCGGACTGGGGATTCCAAAGCAGCCCTGGAAAAAAAATCTATGCCAGCCCCATAAGTCATTGCGCCATATATTGTCGCATGTAATATGTAAGGCTATGTCATGTCACCCTAGATGATTGAGATATATATATATATATATATATATATATATATATATATATATATATATATATATATATATATATATATATATATATATATTGCTTTTTCCAATATAAAATATTGGTCCTTTCAGAGTAAAATTTTTAATTATACAGTAAGCATACTCACATGCAGACACAGACAATCTCACTGACACAAGCTGATTGATACACAGCCTCACAGACAAACAATCTCACTGAAATACATAAGTTAATTGACATAAAAACACAAGCTCACTCAGTAGCAGGCGTACACACACACACACACACGCAAGCCCACTCACTAGCAGGCGCGCACACACACACAGCTTAATGTAGTGGTTCTGGTGTCTATAGCCTGTCCCTGCATGCTTTTCAATGTAAACACTGACTTTTTAGAGAAAAGGCAGTGTTTACATTGCTTCCTAGTGACAGACACTCAGACTGTCACTAGAGGTGCTTCCTGTGTCAGTGCGGATTGGCTGAGATCATCAAGCTAGATGATCTCAGCCGTAGAGGCAGGGCCAGTCGAGGGGAGACCAGCACGACGGGGGGGGGGGAAGGTGAGTAAAAACACACATACACACACAAATACCATGACAGACACACACCATGACACAGACAGACTGCGACACATACACACACAAACCGTGACACAGACAGAAACACAGATACACCATGACAGACACACACCTTAAAGGACCACTATAGTGCCAGGAAAACATACTCTTTTTCCTGGCACTATAGTGCCCTGAGGGTGCCCCCACCCTCAGGGTCCCCCTCCCGCCGGGCTCTGGGGAGAGGAAGGGGTTAAAATCTTACCTTTCTCCAGCGCCGGGCGGCGAGCTCTCCTCCTTCTCTCCTCCTCCTCCTCCATAGCGGCTGAATGCGCATGCGCGGCAGGAGCCGCGCGCATTCAGCCAGTTCATAGGAAAGCATTTACAATGATTTTCTATGGACGCTGGCGTCTTCTCACTGTGATTTTCACAGTGAGAAGCACGCAAGCGCCTCTAGCGGCTGTCAAGAGACAGCCACTAGAGGCTGGATTAACCATATTATAAACATAGCAGTTTCTCTGAAACTGCTATGTTTATAAAAAAAAAAAAAAAAAGGGTTAATCCTAGATGGACCTGGCACCCAGACCACTTCATTAAGCTGAAGTGGTCTGGGTGCCTATAGTGGTCCTTTAAAAAAGAGACACACACACACCATAACACAGACAGATCGTGACACAGACAGACAGACATTACATGACACAGACACACACCACGACACAGAGAGACTGTGACACAGACACACACACCGTGACACAGACACACACCATGACACAGACAGACACACACAATGACACAGACACACATTGCATGAGACAGACACACACCATGACAGACAGACACACACAATGACACAGACACACACACACCATGACACAGACAGACACACACACCATGACACAGACACACACAATTGCTACCTGTGTGCTGGCATGGGGAGCTCTGATGACGGCCGCATGGGGGAGCTGGCTCTTCTTGCGTCCGCAGAGGGAGCTCTTTTGGCGGCCGCAGGGGAAGCTGGCTGTACTGGCGGCCGCAGGGGGAGCTGGCTGTTCTGTCTCTGCTACCCCTCCCCAGCGTGCCGCTTAATGAGACCGGGGCCAGAATATGACATCATATTCCGGCCCCGGTCTCATTAAGCGGCGCGCTGGGGAGGGAGAGCAGAGACAGAACAGCCAGCTCCCCCTGCGGCCGCCAGAACAGCCAGCTTCCCCTGCGGCCGCCAAAAGAGCTCTCTGCGGCCACAGGTGAGCCAGCTGACAGCCCGGCCCCAGGTGCCGACGGCCCACTGGGAAATTTCCCGGTATCCCGGTGGGCCAGTCCGGCCCTGATGATTTTGACAAAAATGTGTGAAAATGTGCAGTCAGATTTCTCTGTGGATCAACAAACCCACTATATTAACTATTCTTTTCTTGAATATTTTGTTTTTTCAAAACAGAATCCAGAGGTTATTTAAAAACCTGTACAGTATCTGATAAAACAACCTCTTTAGGCAGAGAATTCCACATCTTTATTGTTTTTACAGTTAAGAACACTTTCCTCTGCCGTAGGCAAAAGCTTCTCACATTAAGTCTAAGTGGGTGAACAATTGTTCATTGTATAGGTCTATTGCGCTGTTTGTACTTTGTAAACCAGTTTGTTATTTTAATTTTTTTTGCCTTTCTACATAACTAATTAATTTTGTAGATACCTCTGCACTCTTTCTAGTTCCATAACATCCTTCTTAAAAAAAATTGTATTTATTTAATATTTTGGAAACTCTCTCACTATTGATTTATACATAGGCAAGATTATATTTTTGTTTCATTAATTAACGGTTTATGGATCACTGTATCTTACTGGCCTTAGCAACCAACTGCTACATGACATTGCACAATATTGTGTGGTCTGTTGTCTGTCACTTTTTATTTACTTGATTATTCAATTTAAGATGCACAACCTCTCTGCTTGGGAGAGCTGGATTGGACATTCTTCCTATTGTCCAGTGGACGCTGCTGGGTTCACTGTGCTTTGTTGGCACAGCTTCAGTCTGCACCCTGTAATGATGTTAATGTCAGTGACTTCACATTTCGGTTCAGAGCATCACTACAGAGTGCACAGGGGTCCTGAGCAGGAAGAGCACAGTATTTACACAGCTTCCTTGCCAACCCCCTGATTTTTAAATAGCGCCATATTATGGTCACTATTTCCCAAGCGCTCCCTTACTTAAATGTTTGACAAAAAGCTATTTTTTATTTATAGCTGAGATATAAAGGTGTCATTTAATAGGTTACATTTCCTCTAGTTGAACAGCTAGTCCCGCAGTCCCTGTCAATGCCCGGGAATTTAAAATCTTAAATTATTTAAAGCATTAGCACAAACTGAAAAGGCTGCACATTTGGACTTTACATTTTATCTTGCTCATCATAATAGTTGATGCTTGTAACATATATCTACAACTAAGACATTGCTCCTCTTAGCTCCCAAAAAGATGTTTACCTATAAGGCCTCCTCATATTCATTTGTTTCATCATTTGTGATTTCCGTAAAAGGAACACTATAAGATCAGGAACACAAACATGTATTCCTGACCCTATAGTGTGAAAAATTCTATCCAACCCACTGTCCCGCCCTCCTCCCCTTTATTCCAGTCTGCTGGTGCTGATCTCGGCCAATCACAATCTGAGGAGTGGCCACTAGAGGTGTCCCTAGGTTGTAATGTAAACACAATGTTTGCTTCAAAAAAGCCTGCAGGGACATGCTATACTTACCAGAACAACTACATTAAACTGTAGTTGTTCTAGTGACTATAGTGTCCCTTTAAAACAAGGCTACAATTTTAAAAAGGTGAACATATCCAACTCACTATTCTTACCATTCTAAACAATATATTCTCATTTAAATTCACTAGTTATGGCTTATTCTTATATTGTTACTCAGGCTCCTTGCATTAGCATTTTATATGCAAATACTATATCACACCATGGCCATCACACAAAAGTTTTTATTAGTACAAAAAAAACTAGAAGAGTACTTATATAGTGTGTCACAGGAACTTACAAACACATGCAATGATTCTCCTAAATCCAGTGACACCCCAAACTGTCTACAATATATAACTAAAACAATGCGTCAGGCTGAAACAGTGGGGCTGTGGTCTCCACTCTCTCTGCTAGTAAATGAAGGTAACATATTATGGTCTAAATGGTTCATTTGTATCATGTTTGCTGATAATTAGAAATTGGGGTGTCATTTAAGAGAATTGTCATTTTTTTTATGTTCTTTTACACTGTTGATCCATAAGGCGGCAAAACAATCGTAGCCATTTCCAATTAAGCCACAAAAAGGGAACCAATTCCTCCTTGACTTCATAAGCCTTTTTTTTTTAACCTGGGTTTTTCAGCCTCTTATTAATGCTACCACTAGAGAGTGTATCTGTTTTTTTCTTACAAATTTTGTAGATCTTGTTGTAGCATCCTGATATACCAATAAGCAGAACCTTTATACTTTCTTCTATTAAATCCATGTATTTTTTTCTTTCTCTTATTCACTTTTCTTCTCTCTCCTTTACTTTCTAGGTTTTCAAAAACTTGTTGCCATGCTATTTTGGTGCAGACCAATTCCTTCATTCCTATATCTCTCAACAATCTTCCAGGCAATATTACAAATACTAATGGAAAATAATTTCTTTAGGCCTTTACTTTTCCTGTTGGCAGTTTTCATTTATTCAGGAACGGACTGTGAAGAATCAAAGCTAAACACATTTTTATTTGTTCCTTTGCAGATCATTTGTTTCTTAACGCAGAACCTAGAGCTACCGAAAGTATGGATCGACTTAGCCAGGCTGTAAGTTATAATCTTGATGAGATCTGTATGCTAAGAAATTACTCTAAAATAAGCTAGACAGAATTACTATTATTAAAATGGGCATTATTCATTTTACAATACCTACTACCCCTTCTAAAATATTAAAATATAGCAAAGGACAGGTGAGAGGAATTTATTTATTATTGCCATTTATATAGCACCAACAGATTCCGTAGCGCTTTACAGTATTATGAGAGGGGGGGATGTAACTATAAATAGGACAATTACAAGAAAACTTACAGGAACGATAGGTTGAAGAGGACCTTGCTCAAACAAGCTTACAGTCTATAGGAGGTGGGGTATAAAACACAATATTACAGGAAATAGCAATAAGTAATAATAGTAATAGGAAAAATAAGTATGTAGTCCAATTAGCAGCTCAGTCAATAAAGAATTGCAGAAGGGTAGATGAATATGTTTTTATAGTTTGATAGATGCATGATAAGAATGTTTTCATAAACAGAAATGTTAGTGTTTTTTTTTTTTTTTTAGCAATTAACAAAATGCAAAGTGAACAGAAGACATATCTAAATTAAAGTAATATTTTACTCTTTCCTTCAAAACTATCAATTATTCTAGGTACACTTGCACACAGTTTTGTAAAGAACTCACCTGTTAGATTGTTCCAAACATCAGAACTAATCACAGTTCATCTGAAAACGTAGGCAGTCTCAGTTGCTTCAGCTTCTTCTTCAATCCCAAACAGACCCTGTCATGTTAAAATCAGGGTTCTGTTGGGGGCCATTACGTGACTTCCAGGAAAGCTTGACATTTTTTTTTCCCCACCGAATATAATTAACATATTTGGTTGTGGGGATGGGGCCTAGCAAAGTTACAGCTCAGACGCCATATTGTACAGCTCCGTGCACAAACCTCCTAAATTTACGAAAACCGGGAAATTATTGGCTGTTAACAGACTAAAAGTGCTTGCCACGAGTGGGGGAACATCCGATCCTGCTCATGCCCTTTCAGTTCGGATCGCTCACCGTGCCATCCTGTAAGACCAGACGGAGGCTAATGCCTAGAAGCCTGAAGGCCGCAGCCAGCCACGCCTAGCGCCTCCCAGACTGGAGCGAATACTTACCTCCCTACCTGAGCGACCCCAACACTGCAACCATGGGTCGGAAAACTCAGAACCTAAACCCGGCCCCACCATAAGAGGCGAGAGATATCGGGGCACTCCTCAAATGCACAAGGTCCAGACTGGCGGAGCACTCAGCTCATTTAGCCAACAGAGAAGCCTCTGAGGATGAAGAGGGGAGCGTCATGGAATTCAGATCAGAAAGCACGCAACCCGCTACAGCGACAACAACAAATGAGACCCACAGGCTGACACCTGCAACTAAACAGGACATATGAAACCTCTATAAAATAAAATAAGAGAGGTCCAGGCATCCCTGGATGGAAGTGAGTGCAGTTCCATACATACTTCAAAAAGGATATGAGACTTCTATGACAGAATCAGACTGCTGTTTGACGCCCTAGTTAAAACTGAGGTCCAAGCAGTCACAGACCGCATCCAGGCCACTGAGGAAGATGTGATTGACCTCAAGAAAGGCCTGGCAGCCCTGGGCGACACTGTGAAACAAATGCAAACCTCGCACTCCTTCCTGACCCACATAGTGGACACTCTGGATGACAGGAGCAGGCGACAAAACATCAAAATCCGCAGAGTCTCTGATGCAGTGTCCACAGAGGAATTGCCACACTTCATCAGACGGCTGATATCCACAGTCCTTCCCGCCAAGCGGGCTAAACTGCTCCTGCTGGATGGGGCCTATCAGGTTAACAGGTCCCCACATGTCCCAACAAGCTCACGAAGAGACATTATACTCAAATGCCAATCCTTCACGGACAAGCAAAGGCTAATGAAAGCTCACCAGGACAAGGCCCCCTTTGGACTTTGAAACTCACCATCTTACTTTCTTTCAAAACGTCACTATGTCCACGTTGCTATGGAGAAAGGCTATGCAGCCTATAACTAAAAAGTTGCAAGAAGCTGGAGTGGCGTATTGCTGGTCCGCATCACGCAGGCTGATGGTCCTCAAAGACGGGAAGACTTACACAGCAGCATCTCCACCAGACGCCCCCCGCTTTCCTCATGGGAGGCACAGAAGCTCCAGCGAGAACCCCAACCACCCTGCCCCCATAGGTTACGAGTAAAAATGAGAAACGGAGGCACCAAACATTGTCCGCAATCACACATCGCATCCCTAAGACACATATTCACTCTTAGGAATCACACCGCAGGCTTAGCAGCCTTATATCAAGCTGCACAGCTCTCACACTGGGCTGTCCGACAGCAGCAATAACGACATAGATGGTGGCCTCTAGTATAGCATCAGCAGGAATCTGGTCAACACCCCTTTCCACACACACCAGAAAACATTATGCATCCTTATCCTGATGATTCCTTCCTTGTATTCGTAATTTCATTTTTCTTTGTGTTATGAATAAAGTTGAGCGAAACCGAAATGAAAAGTTAAGTTTTTTGGACCCCGGACCTGAACACGGACATATCACTGTATGTTCAGGTTGGAGTTCGGAGATTTAATGACACGTTTTGAAAGGCCGCAGGGCAGCCAATCAACAAGCGTTTGACTCGTGTGCCCTTAGAAGCTACTAATGGCATGGCTGTGATTGGCCAGTGCAGCATGTAGCTAGTCTAGCTAGTAGGGGCATGTCTATTAAACAGTGAGCAGCCTGTGGCCCCCGCAACGCGTGAGTGGGGGCTTTTAAACTAAAGGGGGGACCTATTGCCCCCACCCCTGTGTGGCAGGTGGGGGCCCTAAATAACAATAGGGGGACGGACATAATGTCCTCCCCCCTGGCCCCCACCCCTGAGTGGTGGGTGGGGGCCATAAATAAAAATTGGGGGCAGGACCTAATGTCCTTCCCCATGACCCCCACCCCTGAGCGGTGGGTGGGGGCCATAAATAAAAATTGGGGGTGGGGTGGACCCCCACCCCTGCGTGGCGGGTGGGGGCCCTAAATAACAATAAGGGTGGGATTGATTAGCTTGAAATCCAGCCAGAGTGCTCTGTGTCATTTTACACAGCGTGGGAAAAGTCCAAAGAACTTTCCCACCCTGTGGAAAATGACACAGAGCACTCTGATTGGTGGATTTCAATCCAGCCAATCAGAGTGCTGTGACAGGTAAATTTAGAGATTTACCTGTCAGAGCACTCTGATTGGATGGCTTAAACCCACCAATCAGAGTGCTCAGAGCCTAATTTAGCTTTATAAGCCTTCCCCCGCCCTGCAGAGCTCAGTCTGCTCTCCATGGGTGAAGAAGGATTTTTTTTTTTTTTGCGCCTTTTCTTTTCTTTTAAAGTGCGTCCGTTATTCTGGATTTTTATTTGGCCTTTTTTGGGGCTGGAAAAAGAGATTTTAGAAGAAAGAAGACATCAAATGGTAAGTCTATTTTTTTTTTTACAGGTATTTAGACAAGGGTCTCCACTCATTTTTAGTATGAGGGGGGTAGGTAGTGGTAATTTTTTTGGGGGGAGGGAGTGCCTAGGGGTTTGGGGACCCCTAGTCATGTGGGGGTGGGGGGATTTTTATTTATGGCCCCCACCCACCGCACAGGGGTGAGGACATTAGGTCCCCCCCCTTATTGTTACTTAGGGCCCCCACCCACCGGTCAGGGGTGGGGCAGGTGGGGAGGTCATTAGGTCCCCCCCTTATTGTTATTTAGGGCCCCCAACCACCGCGCAGGGGTGGGGGACGTGGGGGAGGACAGAAGGTCCCCTCCCCCAATTTTTATTTATAGCCCCCACCCACCGCTCAGGGGTGGGGGCCGGACTTATCTGGTGTCCTGTTGGGCATTACGTGAGATTTGACTTGGGTCATAGCGGCCTTCCAAACGCCGCTATCAGACCATAGACAGATAACAGTTGGGGCAGTCCGGCTGTCTATTCATGTCTTGCTTGCTGCCCTGTTTCCTACTTCAAGTCATTCTCTGGGAAGCGTAGGCAAGGTGAGTGTAGCAGGCAGGGGTAGCTAGACTCTGTGGATCCCCCTCCACTCCAAGGCATGCAAAGAACCTGTGCGAATTGGAGCTTTCTCACCTGCCAGGCAGGCTTTAACTTTGGCTACTGTGTTCATGATCCAGCTCATGTCTTCTTGCCTCTCTGGAAGACAGTCTCCCCTCAAGGCAGGTGATGATGGGCTTGTGCGGTCAGCATCTTGAGAGGCTTGTTGGGAGACCCACGAGGTGGCAAATGTCTCCACCACTCCAACACATGCGGTCTGCTTTGGTTTTGGAAGTCTTGCAGGGAGTTCTCATGCTAGCACCACGAATGGGTGTTATCAGACTTCAGGATACTCTGTTTATGCAGGTTACTCGTGCTGATTATAGTGAAACAGTGCAGGAGCTCTTAAATAATGGTCATCTTGGGAAGTGGTCAGATTATGCACCAAGAATTAATACCGCTTTGAAGGCAAATGGGTGGTAATATCTAATATTAGATTTTTATTTTGTTTACTCATTTTGTTAATTCATAAAAATAAAATATTAATGCTTCTAGTCTTGAAAGCTATTTTAGCTTACAGCATCCTTTAAGAGCTGCATTATACATTATAAAATATATATATAAAAATGTTTCTATAGTATTTTAATTTATACATCCATGGAAATGGCTAAATATAAAATAAAAACTATATAAAAGTCATAGGCTACCCAAAGCCTATCTGAATGTAGATTTAGAGAAAGTTGGGGATTACAAATAACACAAAGTACGTATCTCTAAAACTAATGAAACCTTCTCACCTTTCCACAGGTATCTGACCTTTCATGCCAAGTGCAGGAGCTGAGGGAAGGCTTGCATTCTCTCCGTCAAGCAGTACACTTGTCTCTTATGCCTTGCAATCCTTCATCGTGCTTCCATGGAGGAGACTTGCACACACATTGTGGTAACAGTCCACAATCTCCAGTAGATGGAACAAGTACCTGCCCCCCACTTTACCACCCTCAAAGGTTAGAAAAGACTTCTCAGCTCTGTTATATACATAACTCTTCTACATGCACAGAGGGACATTTTTCCTGGCTTTGGGCACCTCCTACCCCTCTATGGCTGCATTGCACAGGACACGAACAGAGAGACAAGAGTCAGTCAGGCTCATCAACAATGGACATAGATGAGACACCTGATGTAGCGATCAAGAGAGACTCTGCCACCTCTGATCCCCACTCCCTGGAAATGCAATTCATTCTTCCCTACAAAGGAGCTGGTGACAATGACCCAGGCTGCTGGCCTAGGGAGGAAGGAACTGGGGTATAATAAAGTAGGATATCCATATTCCTCTCTCCACAAAGACTATGTGAGCTTCAGGGATGATAATCAAAATGGCCACATTATCAATATAACACTATTTCAGAAATGTCTTCAAAAACGTTTGTTGGGGTATTTTTTCCTTTTTTACATTTTATTGCTGAATTTTGGATCTGTATAAGAATGAGCCTTTTGATGAACAAAAAATTAAATTATATATATATATATATATATATATATATACACACATACATACATACACACACACACACACACACACACACACCAGATCTTTCTTTACTAGCTAGATTTTTCTGCAGGCAAATGTTTCTTGCATTGTAAGGTAACTATATTACACCACTGTTATGATTCAGACTTTTTAAAGCGACTTATGTATGAACATACCATGCTTGGATAGAATGTTTAAATGTACATGTGTGGGATGTTCACTAAATAGAACTAGATTTAGATGTTTGCTAGCAGAACATGGACATAATTGTCAAAAGACAAATAGGGTTGTCAGCATGATAGGGCCTATTTTATTCTCAAATGGTATGCTTTAATTCAAAATTGTATTAGAGAGTGGCATCAGAAAAAGTCATTCCATATATCAAAATATGGATGAATTACACAAACCAGTGACTAAGAATACAAGTTATGTCAAAATGGATAAGGGATTCTGTGAATCTGGAACTAAGCAAACAATATACCACACCAATAAACAAATCCGTTTTAACATACATATTTCCTTTTCTGGTAATACAGCTGTTAAATTTAGGAGACACAATATTCCTGCATTGGATCAAACAAGCTCTTTCTATATACTACATCTATTACCAAATAATTTGTGTCTTGGACTGATGTGTAGGATTATCAACTTAATTTGGTACTTTTATGCATTACACTATAATCTGATGAGGTAATAAAAAAAATACCAGTCCAAAAGTTTATGCAAACTTGCTTTGTGCCACGACCTGTGTTTGCTGTTCTGTTAAAAGGATTGTTAATCTTTCCCAAGTAGATTGCTGTATTATCCAGAACAGCAGTGATAGAGCAGGACTGTATGGAGTTGTTTCTTACAGCAAATACTGTTTTGAAACCACTTTGGATTTTTAGCTCATAGCCTAAGGAAGTCTGGTTACACGTTGCAGATGACAAGCACACCATTGCATCACTAAAACTACACAGGCATGTGAACACTACTTTGCATGGAAAAGAATTACATCCTACTAAGGCTAGACGTATGATTTATATTCAGCCAAACATGTTCCTTTATCTCAAATTTTAATATGTGTGAAAGTTGTGCAAGTTCCTTTTTGTCCTTTAAGGTTTATTCCAGTCTCATTTGCAGTTATTGTTTAGACCAGAAATAGTGGACAATTTTCCATCTCCATTATTTTGGTTTAAAATACATTTTATTTTTTTTAAAGTTTGTTTTCTCTTTGGTTTTTATTGTATGTATTGGGGCTGATGTGTGCTATGGTAGTTGCTGCCGCCCAGAAGTAGTGCGAGTTTCAGCGCAGGACTTAAGTTTGTGTAAAATATATAGTTTCCTTGTCAGTTTTGTGATTCACAGTTAAGCAAATCAAGTATGAGTGGGCAGATTAGCAGGCTCATACAAACATCTTCATAATCTACATGGGAGTTGCAAGTCAAGGGAATCCAAGAAGTCAACATATATTTAAACAGAATATGTACTTTAAAAGGGACATGTGTCACCTGATTTTTTTTAAACCAAACATTTTAAACAAATACAAAAATAAAATAAAAAGTATGTAATAAGTTTATAAACTTGACCAGATTACATTATTGGGCATGCCTCTCTGCTAAGAGTTTCTTCAACCCACCTCACACTTTGAGTATTCCACTAATGACAGAAACAGGGCATCATTGTGCAGCAGAAGGAGATAGAATCCAGACAACAGAGCCTGCTCTGCATAATCACACTGATCAGACTCTCTTCCCAGTCAGAATTTTGCAAGGTGAAGAGATCTCTTAGCATGTCCAGTGCACTTTTTTAGCATTCCTAGGGATAGGTCACTGATTGGAGCAACTAATTATGTTTTGTGGGATCCTTCTATCTGCAGCAGAACATTAATGCATTCTTTTCTCTAGATGCAAGTAAGCTAAGCGCACCGTGACATCAAGCAGTTTGTAGAATTTGTTTGATTTCTTTATTATAATATACCTTAAGAATCCCCAGCATGATTTGTAATAATTTACTTCATGTTGGGATGATTTTTTTTTAAATCAACTGGGTGCATGGTGTAAAAAGATCATGCACTTTTATGTTGTAGTCTTTAGTGTGGAAAGCTATATATATATATATATATATATATATGCACTGAGAAATTTATTAAAAACAAATGCACGAGAGACATTTTGACATTTGTTACATTTAGCACGTTATTGCATGAATAGTTTAAAATTAGTCAATATTAATTTAGTGTACATGGGGTTATAATGTTTAGATAATACAAATTACTGGGGGAGAGTGCGAGGGGGCCTACAGAATAGGGTCCAGACTTTTGAACAATTTGCTCCAACTGAAAAATCAGGAAAGGGGCAGACTCCATTCATAAACAAGGTAAACACATGCTTCCATATTCACATCCACTTATTTCTTTAGCAGTTTCATTAATTTTTATTGCATTTATATATTGTACCTGGAAATGTGGGTCCTGCAACAAAAATGTGTTTCTTACTATGCATGCAGGTAGCATCTCTCCAAGGAACTAAGTGCAGGCAGCATCTCTCTATGACTGGCTTTTGTCCAAGGAACTTACCTTGTTATTTTGATAAATAAAACTATTTCCATTTGAATGGTTGTATTTCTTATTTAAAAAATAAAAAACATCCTCATGACTGCACTTCGGAAATGTTGCTACTAGGGTTTATGGAATTGATCCACCGACAAATCACAAGTGATTTTGTTTACAAAGCACAATTAATTTAATAAACAAATATTTCTTAACTATGTACGTAACAAAATGAAGGCAGATATTAGCTGAAAAAACCCTGCGATATACATTACTTGCAGTCTGAAAAATAATGTGCTCCAAACACTGCCTTGGTAACAGCAGTTCTTTCTTCTGTTGTCTTGAAAGTCACTCTCTATTTTCCAAACAAGTTGGACCAAGGAACAGTCTCAAATAAAATAGAGCTTCTAAATGCCCACGCCAACTCAAGCATCTCTTAATGCCTCCAGATGTCATACTGTTCATTGTTGGATCATTTTAGCAGCTTCTGCTTTAATTAAAGCAATGAGTTCCTGATTGATAAGGAACACAAAACGGAGTCCAGATATCTGGGGAAGAAAGATATCATTAAATGATAGATGTAGCATTTGTGCCATTCACAGAGGCACCGGGTAAACATTTAGTACAGCCTATTCAATACAATGGATTAGCCTAATTCAGATGCTGTGACTATGATATATGCCGGAAAAATGAATATAAACTCTCACTAAATACACTTACTCCATGCAGTCTTTAAATCCCTAGCCCTGTTTGTAGTTATGTTTTGTCATATTAATGGAGAAGCTAACAGCTTCAGTTGGCTACATAATAATCTAGGTTAAAGTAAAAGGAAAAATAAAAAAACAAAAACAAAAAAAAAAACCCCCAAAAAGATATTTGGTTCTGCTTCTAATCACCACCACCCGTCCCCCCCGTCCCCAAATAAATAAAACACCTTCAATTCGGGGGCGTGGCCACTGACCACATGGAAGCAGTCGCATAGAAAGAGAGCTCCGCCGAAATAGTGGGCCCCACAGCGTGGAACACAGCAATTCTGCCACCAAAAACAGCCCATTTAAACTCCAGCCCTACCCTGAACACAATGGCAATGAAATCCTCCAAGAAACTAAAACAGAAAACGATCGACTCACATCTAAGCTCGCAACAAACGGAGCACTCATGCGACCAAGATGGCGCCGGAACGCATGGTTCACCCACATATGAGGCAGAAGCAGAAGACACCCAAAACTACCACAGCAGTGAAGCCTCCATCCCTGCCACAAATGCCTCAGTGAGTACCATGCTTGACAAACTAAAATCAGCCTTATTCTCAGACCTCCAACGCATAGCAGCAGACATTAGAGCTGACATACAAGTAATAGGGGACAGAACAGCCCACCTAGAAGAAAAGACTGAGGGTATCCTAACAGTCCACAATGAGCTAGCAGATGCACACACAGCACTGGAAAACAAAGTTAAATACCTGGAAGGAAAAATTGCAGATAACGAGGATAGAGACAGACGGAACAACATAAGGATACGTAGAATACCTGAAAATATAGGTCCACAAGATCTCACACACTACGTACAGAAGTTGTTCAAATCTCTAATCCAATCATTAACAGATGCAGATCTTCGCTTGGATAGAACCCACAGGCTACCCAAGCCACGACATCTGCCCACAACTATATCAAGTGACGTCATAACCAGAATCCACTATTTCACGGTCAAAGACCAAATAATGCAAACATCAAGACTTAATTCATCTCTCCCAGAAGAATACACGGACATAAAACTGTTTATCGACCTCTCAGCAGCCACAATGAACAGAAGACGCTCATTCACACCGATCACGACAGCCCTCAGAAATGCCAACATCTTATACAAATGGGGATTTCCAACCAAACTGCTCGTCAAACGCAACGGAGCAGACCGCGCAATCCTCACGCCTGAAGACGGCATACAGATTCTGGAAGACTGGAACATTCCTATCGCTGCTCCGCAGAGTGAAAAACAAAAGACTGATACACCGCCACCGCGCAAAATGGCGAGAGACTGGCAACAAGTCCCGTGGATCAGCAATGCTCCTCAAGGCCGCAGAAAATACCAGCCTTGAACATCACCCTACTCCGCTCCAAAACACGTAACACATTGCACTTGCATTAATGTTGTTGTATTGCTATTTAACTGGGTTACATGATCCAATGTACAAAAACCAAAGAAAGAAAAAAAAAAAAAGAGGGTAATTATACCGTGCAAGTGGCCCCTTAGCATAGGCCCACAAATGGCGGAATACTCACACTGCTTAAACTTAGATTGTTACAACTGCTATTGTTTAGACTACGATTGTTAACATTACAACTATAATCACCTCTCTCACTTAAAAAGTACCAATTTATCTCACACCAAGCTACCACTAACCCCCAAAACCGGCCCACCAGTGAGCCTTCAAATACCCGTCTGCACACTGTTGCATCAGGCCCTATTGGCTAACGGGCAAGTGTACATAGTTTTACCCCAACTCTATCCCCGTACCCAACAAAGTTACTTCTCACAGTCTCGGTAACAATATAGAACACCCAAAATACTCCTTTATTGGAGAAGGTACATAGGCGTATACACAAATATCACCATAAAGACAAGCAATATGCCACTAAAATTCTTGATGGTCTCCCAAACAGATACTATAAAGAATTCTCCCAACACATACTGATGTAGAATTATTAAAATCTTTATTAGAACCTGTATTGAATTATTGTACTAACTCCATTTTAATCTCACACTATGACAGAATTCTCCATTTTGTTCACCTTACATGACAGAATTTCCTGACAGTATTCAGTATAATGAATAAGAGATTGTATTTTCTCTCTCTAAGGACATAACTAGCCCCGGAGTTAGCGGATCTCCGTTGACTTGCAACATAGTATAATCCAAGGCCAGGAGAACAGTGACAAAATGAAATGTTCTATTCATAAAAGAACCTTGGAACAGACCACGAGACTGACATCACTAACTACGTAAAATGACGCCCAAGCCCCCCTTTCCACCGAGTAAGCCTCGTGCTAAAGAGCAATGGCGACGACATCCCATGATGGGAGGGTGCCTCACTAGTCACTCAAATCTCTGAGCCAATTAATAATATTAATGGGTGGACACTGACATAGCCACTTAACATTTAACCCAATTAATGATGTTTATTTGTTATTATCTGATATTCAATGATGATGTCATTTTGCATATAAAAAGGCCTGCGTGCCCGCTTTTTAACTAGATGCTAATAAATTTCCTGAAGTGTTTTTAACCTGAACTGCATGTGTCAGTGTGAACTTACTTCTGCGTATACGCAATTTATTCATCTCAGATTTGGACAGGAACAGATAGACTTTTAAACATTTTTGTTTATTTCTAAATTAATCTACATCAATAACACCACACCTCCTGAACTTATACCAACACTGCAGCGACACAGGAACTCTACCAACAGAATTACTGTTAGCCCACATCTCCACTCTACCCAAACCCGGTAAACCCCCTGCAAAAACTTTAGACCAATATCTCTCCTAAACAGCGACGCCAAACTATATGCAAAAAATATTAAGCAACAGATTAGCACCGATAATAGCAAAATTGATACACAACGACCAATCCGGGTTTGTCAGGGCTCAGACAACACCCGAAAAACTCTCAACATACTGACCACAATGGGAAGAGATTCGGTTGGAGGTCTCCTCCTAGCACTAGATGCGGAGAAGGCCTTCGACCAACTCAACTGGGCATACATGCAGCAAGTGCTTTCCAAATATGGATTCCCTGTTGAATTTATCAGGGGAGTCATGGCACTTTACACAACATCAGCAGCCAAAGTGGCTCACGGTGGCTTCATATCTAGTCCATTCGCTATCACAAATGGGACGCGTCAGAGATGCTCCCTATCCGCCCTCCTTTACATCCTATCTCTCGAACCGTTGGCCCAAAAAATACGCACAGATCCCAACATAAATGGAATCACAAGTTTAGGACAGGAATACAAATTGGCGCTGTTCGCCGATGACATTTTGATAACATTAGGGAACCCCCAGCGATCTCTACCACCCCTCATGGAAACCCTGAAAACATTCGGCGACATCTCCCATTATCGCCTGAATCAAGATAAAACCCAGGCCCTCCCTGTTGGGCTTCCCTTAGCCACCAAAACAATACTGAAAGACAACTACCCCTTTGACTGGAGAACGACATCACTAACTTACCTAGGCGTAAAAATCGCGCAGTTTAATCCTGAAATTAAATCACCTCACACTCCCCCAACAATGCAAAAGAGATATACAAAAATGGTATCAAACGCACATCTCATGGCTAGGAAAAAATCAACGCATACAAGATGATGTTACTGCCTAAGATACTCTACATATTCAGAATGCTTCCAATCCAGGCCCCACAAACACTCCTCAACTCCCTGCAAAACATCTGCAGCTCATTCATATGGAGGAAACAAAAAACCACGCATATCCCGCACCTTACTCTACAAACATCCAAAAAACGGAGGAGTGGGGCTACCCGACATAGGACAGTATTACAAAGCCACAATGTTGGCATCAGGCACACTGATACATTCAGAAAAGGGTAACATTCAATGGGTGGACATGGAAAGAGCCCAACTGGACAAAAACACAACACTCGACTTCCTATGGACGCCGAGGAAACATAGGCCAAACAAGCCAAACCTATTCCCTACCACGGCACTGACCGTCCACATTTGGTCAACATTCCTAGATACAGTAGGAGCCAAAGAAACATTTCACCCCAACGCACCACTAACCGCACTAAGGGCCATATCACCAGACATGCGTATCCAGACATGCGTATCCAGACATGGGTACACGCAGGTATTAGGCATATTCACCAATTATTGCACTCACAAGAAGTAATGACCTTCACGGACATACAACAGAAATGGGAATTACCAGCAAACACTATTTTCACATACCTACAACTAAGATGGATCATCAACACACACGTAAACAGACAACAAAACCTTAGCCCAAGCCTCTCCTCAGCAAAAGCAATAATAGAAAGATGCTGGAAAGGCCCTATGAAAAAGAAAAATATTTCCCTATGCTATAAGGCCTGGGATGATACCCTAACCAACACTTCACCGCACTGCAAAACAATGTGGGAAACAGAATGCGCTATCCAACTCACAGAAGACGAATGGATCCACGCACTGAATGACATATCTAAATGGACTAAGTGCTACACCCATATAGAAGCACATAGAAAAATCGCTGTACAGACGGCATTTAACTCCATGCACTCTCCACAAAATTTATCCCAATACACCTTCCTTTGCTGGAGGTGCTCAGCAGAGAAAGGCACGCACACACACATTTGGTGGTCATGCCCCAACATCCAACCCCTCTGGGTAGAAGTACAAAACACATTAAGTGCCCTCACGGTTCCACACACCAGGAACACCCCTGAACTATTCCTACTTATGCGTTTCCCCCCATCATTCGAATATGCACACAAACAATTGAGTGCAATCACCATTTTGGCAGCTCGTAACTTGATAAGCCTGCAATTGGAAATCCACATTCTGCCCAAACAAAGCCAAATTATGGGACAAAATACAACAATACTACACATACGAGCGTATGGCCGCCCCAGACGCAAAAACAGCACAAATATTTCACACAACTTGGGCCCCCCTGGGTAACTTTACACGACAACAACCAGTAAGAGCTATGTGACAGACACCCACAGCTCGTGACGACAAATGGAATAGATGCCCATGACAAGCAAGAAGATAATGTACCGGACGCACAATGAGTGTATTAAACAATATCGCAACTGTGTATACTCCCTCATACAACCAAACGATGTATAGGAACTTTTGTATACATTTACTTGTTACTGTACTATATGTTATACTTGTTACCTTTGTAACCAAAACCATTTGTATTCTTGTGATGCCATATATCACCCACTGTTCAGTTCTTTGTAAACGATGAAACAAAATCCTAATAAAAACTATATTGGGAAAAAAAATAAAACACCTTCAATTCCAAATGCACAATTGGGTTTTTCTTTGGATCGACAAACTGTCACTTATCCACTTTCATATTAACTATTATTTACTAGAACAACCCTTTAAAATGCATTTATTTTTTTAAAATGGAGGGGGGAGTTTGGAGGGAGGGATATAATTTTTAAAAATTCACTTGTTGGGTAGGTGGGGATAGCTGTAAACAGGAAGGAATGAAGAGGTTTCACCCTGCTGGCTTGACCTGCAAAGGGAAACTCAATAAGTCCATCGCTTAGAACTGATTTATTTTATGCAAAATACAGGAAACAATGAAAGCTGCGCGACAAGGAAATGCCGTGTGCACAAAGTGCTACAATAGTGATTTAGTTGAATGACAGAGAGGTACAATAAACACTGCTCTCATTTTGTTCCTGTATTTTGCATTCTGTATTGTACCACTGATCAAGCAACATGAACTGACGTTGACAGCAGCACTAAGGTACCTTTAATTAAAAAATATTTCAGGACTGCTTAAAACCTGATCTCATTTACACAGTGGTCGGATATATTTTATGTGCAGAATTGACATGTGGCAGCCCGGAACAGAGTCTGGGCAAAGGTTTTTGGTTTTTATACATTTCACCAGATTATGTGGCAGTAAAAGGAAGACAATTACCACTACTCTGGACTCAAGACAATACAAGTTAAATAGAAACCATAGTCACAAGAACAACTACAACTTAAATGTAGTGGTGCTGGTGTATATAGCATGTTTCTGCAGGCAGGGTTTACATTGCTGCCTAGTAATACTTCTAGTGCCCGTCGCTCAGACAGCCACTAGAGGTGCTTAATATCTCGGTGCTGCACACTGTGCAGTATCATCATTAAGCAGTTCCACGGTCTGCATGGAGACCCTGCAAGTTCCCCATAGAGATGCACTGATTCAATGCATTTCTTTGAGGAGATGCTGACAAGCTCAATAGCTTCCAAATGCTTGCCTATGGAAAAGCATTGGATTGGTTGAGATTAACATTTGATGATCTCAGCCATTTAGGCGGGGCCAGCCACGGCGAAGGAACAAAAAGGTAAGTTTTAAACCTTTTAATTCCACAGAGAGAAGAAACAGCCACTCCAGCACTATAGTGTTAGGAATACAAACATGTATTACCAATTCTAAAGTGTTCCTTAAAGTGAGCATACAAAAAAACAAAAAAACACAATGCCAATAATAAAGCATCACAATCTATTAAGGGAAAAAAAAGTTAAGAAAGCTGGTCTCTAAGTGGAGCAACATATTAATTATGCTTGCACAACAGTAATGTGTTTAACTTGGTTACATTATTTATCAATATAATGTCGGCAAGCAGAATTACGTGGTAAGTACACAAGATACAGTCCCAGATAACAATGAATTTGTGTACTTTCAACCAGTGATAGATTATTAGATATTTACATTAATGTACGCAAACAATGCTATATTTACTTACTGCTTTGTTAAACTGTTATATATTTGTTGCCATGGGAACACAATATACTGAATTTTACTTAAATGAAAATTCCCTTTCACTAGTCTTACTAAGGCAACATAAGAGAACTCCTGATAACACTGCTGTGGGGATGTAATGGAAATATATATTGTTCTTTAGTTAAACAATCCATTAGCAGTATCAACTCTCATGAGATATGTAACTAATATATACTTGCCTTATATATTTGACATGTTAAACTCCTAAATACATGATGTATATAAAATACATGTATTTTGCTGGATGGTAAAAATACTTTTTTGGGGCCCACTCAAAATCTAGTTTATTAATAAAAAAATTAAAAAAATGTGCAAACAGTTGTATATCTAGGGCAGGATTTCCCAATAGGCAGAATAGGTACCAGCCTATAGAGACATTTAATATAATTTGCCGGTTTGGAGCTTGTGTGGGTTGGTGAGGGGAGATAAGAATCGGGGATCTTGGTCATTGTTCTCCGTAGTCTAAGCAGCCTCCTATGCTTGATAACAGCTGTAAAACTCATTGCTGTCCCAGCTCCTTCAATGTCTGTGTGTGAGACTGGACAGGAAATAAAGGCATCATAAGATGATTTTTTTTTTTTTTTTTTTAATAAAGATTTATTTAATTGAATCCATATTTCGTTTATTAAAATGGGCTGGAGGAAAAAAAATAATCTTAAGATCGTTATTTTTTTTATTTAAGATTACATTATAGTCCAAAGGCTCTGGGGAGAGGAAAGGGGTTAAACTTACCTCTTTCTCCAGCGCTGGGCGGGGAGCTCTCCACCTCCTCTCCTCCCTTTCGGGTGAATGCGCACGCGCGGCAAGAGCTGCGCGCGCATTCAGCCGGTCTCATAGGAAAGCATTTACAATGCTTTCCTATGGACGCTTGCGTGTTCTCACTGTGATTTTCACAGTGAGAATCACGCAAGCGCCTCTAGCGGCTGTCAATGAGACAGCCAGAGGATTTGAGGGCTAGATTAACCCATTTATAAACAGTTTCTCTTAAACTATGTTTATAAAAAAAATGGGTTAACCCTAGCTGGACCTGGCACCCAGACCACTTCATTAAGCTGCAGTGGTCTGGGTGCCTAGAGTGGTCCTTTAAATGAACACTTTAGTGTTAGGAATACAAAGTGTTTCTCTACCCCCTCCCCCATAGCAAATAAAGGGTTAAAACCCTTTTTACACAACCTTTATTCCAGTGGCAAGGTCTATATTGTAGCTGGTTCCATCTCCGCCTCCCGCAACGTCAGCGCCGTGCACGCGTTCCCCCACAGGAAAGCATTAAATAGATTTGAAGGCGCTGGACATCCAATGGAGGATCTGAAGAGGCTGGACGTTCTCATGCAAAGCGGGAGGACGTCTAGCGTTATTTCATTGGAGTCAAACTCCATGAAACAGCAGAAAGCGCCACTAGCTGCTTTCTGGCAGTCTTAACCCTGGAATATAAATATGTTTAAGGGTTAATGGGACAAGAACAGTACACTCAGACCACTTCAATGAGATGAAGTTGTATGGGTGCTTAAAGTGTCCCTTTAAAGGGTTACTCCAAGCACTATGATCACTTCAGTAATTTGATGTGATCATGGTGCTTGAAGTCTGAATGTGCAGCTTTTCAATATTAAACTCATATTAAACACACAGATATTTTATATTGCTGTCAAAGGAATAACTCCACCTCCAGCAGCATCATTAGTATGTCTTTAACCAGTCCAGAACAAGAGTTCCAGCCAGGCTAATGTCAACACTTTGCACAAAGGATCATTCATTGCCTGATAGTGCTCAGCTAATGACCAGCTCTGCAGATGCCAGATACGCGACACCCAGTGTCGGAGAAGGCTTGGAGCCAAGAGCGTCCCTTTTCTAAAAATTGTTAGTGCATGCAATGAAGAACCCAAATTTACAGGATAGAAAAAAATTACAGTAATAAAGAACACCTTTCCACTGAGGAGCCTTCAAGAAGATACTGAAGTATACGGAGATCACCCTGGTGATGCCATGATGTGAAATGCATGTATATTCAATGGAAATCAAAGAAAGCCCCATGCCCAAACTTCTCAAGTATATTATCACAAAACAAGTTCATTAAACTTATTTTAAATATATTTTTATGATAGTTAAAATAAATTTACAATGCTAAATCACATTACATTGGTGGATTTCTTTTTATTCTATATAAAAACTGGATACATTTTTCTAGTTATAGCAGGGATTAAAGGTACATTTAGTCGATGTATGGTCAAAGGCAAAACCACAACTAGAGAAGGCTTTTCTTTCCTTTCAAGCATAACTAGAAGTGTGCAATTTGCATGTGGATCGGCAAGTAATGGGTATTAGAAAAGGTTGAACATTTACAATTTAACTACATTGAATAAGGGAGAGTAAAGCTTTAAAGGAAAAGTCTAGAGTTACATACCTCCACAACAGAGTTATGATTCAGCTTCCACTTACTCCCCGATAGGACAGGTCGTCCATCTATATAAAGAGCTCTTCGGCCCTCATTGGCTATGAAAAAGTCTCCGTTGTTCTTCAGTTTGATCACTCCTAAAAGTCGGAACACAAATTAGTCTCTCAGAGCAAAGTTTAAAATTTTATGGCCTGTGCTATTAGCCACTGCAAACCTAGAGGGCCCATTGCACACTTACCCAGGTGCATTTCCACTTGCCAACAACTAGTGGACAGTGGAAATTGTGAGCCATGTCTTAGAGGACACAAAAATATGCGCTCTCCACTGATACTACAGAAGTGAAAGGAAACCTGAGAATGCAGGTTTCTTAGAACTAGTCTACAGGATCACATGAACATCAGGAGAAATGTAAAACGCCCTATGATAGGAAGTTAAATCTTCATTACAGACCTTGTTTGCGTGATATCTTCCATGCAGGGCCCTCCAATGAAAGATCAACATCAATCTGGTTGTCCTTCGTAGCTCTGCCAAGCGTGATCTGCTCACAAAACATTAGGCATTAGATCACCTCAACATGATATTGTTTCCAAAACACTTGCGAAAAGATCGCACCCTGCCAGAGAATTAGCCTTACTCCAGTTTCCTACACCTGCTACAACCTCTGATTTATTTGAAATGCTGTTTCACAACAACCATAAGGCTCATCACACTTAATATAGCGATTTTCACAAAGAGTTTAACAGAGGTTTGCAGTTACAGGCAGCTCAGGAAATTAATTTTTGTGAATTCCTTTTAGTTTGATCCTGGCACATCATTAAATCAGCATGCCTTTTGATTGTAAATCCATTTTATTGGTACATATATATCCATTATCTTTTGCTAAAATATCATCTTTGCACTGCCTTTAATGGAGCAAACGGGTGCAAACAGCATAAATTTCATACCTCTCGGGATCTCATCAGGTATCGCACCATCCGTCCTCTTAATACGGCTAATGTTTGAGTGTCGAAATCAGGAGAGCTCATTCCTAGGGAACAGACAGTGGCATCAGGTTTTAACAGGCTTCAGCAGAACACCCTACACCGGAGTTCCATAATCAACAGCAAGATAGAATGAATTCTCTATAAATTACATATATCTAGTGTTTGACCCATTTACTGCTGAGGCTCTCTAGAGCTTTCTTTCACTTCAGTGCTGAAAGCATTTTAGTATATTTCTGTTGTCTACCTCTAATAATTTTCATTAGTTCCATAAGGTATCACCCAAATATTTTTTCAAGCAGATTCTTCCTTACCAAAATATATTCTATTTCTTGCTTACATTCAATAAAATTCACAGAACGAAAGTACATTTAATAAAACGCAAAAAAGGATTGCTTAAAATTTGGACTCAAGGGTCCCAATTTCTGTTTGTTTCTCTTTTCTGATTCTCGTTGATGCTACATCAGCCCTGGATGGCTGTCTGCACAGTTATTGTATGCTTTTTAAAAAAAAATAAAAACAACTATTGTTACCATTACTACATGCATATTTTGTTAACTGCAAATAATTTCTATGTGGTGACAAAACCCTTATTTACAAAAAAGTATTAGTATATATAGTGTAAATCCCTCAATCATTGTATGATTTAGAATAGAAAGGCAAACTAATCTCAAGCACTAAAGTGAAGCAATTGTTTTTATTTATTAAAAATTCTCCAACTCCGCTATTGTCAGTTTGGCTATTTTTGTCAAATTTTCCCACTTTGGTTTAGAATTTACTGAAATTCAGTGGTCAGTGTTTATACCATGTTATTTATTACACACCAAACAGACAGCATGATTATTCACCGTACTATAGAATATTCTATATAAATATGTGATTATTTTAAAAACAAACTGAAGTCACCTTTCAATATTTAATTAACCCAAATCAAATATACTATTTTAGATTCCATAAATCATAAACATACATATCTTGTAGGGGTAAAAAAAATTTTTTGGGGCAGTTACACCTATAGACCTACTTGCTTCAAACATTTCCTGGGTTACATTACATAGAACATATTGTCTTCTTGCATGCTCCCATTGAATGTGCACAAGTTCTGCCTTTCCTCAGATCACTCCAAGTTAATTTAGTCAATCCATGAAAACAGAAACCATACAATTAGGGTTCTTACAGTAGGTCTGTGAAAACTGGCTTGGGAGATAAAAATCTCTATCTTAACTGGACCACAGATGCAGCCCAGCTCTTCTAGGCTATGCAGAGTCAGATTCTAATGCAGGAGTATCCCAGAAAAAAGGAACGTGGCCATTGCCACCCAGCAGGACCAAGGTAAGTTGTCAAACTAAAATCAGTTTGACAAGTTACACTGGGATGTTGCCCGGGTACTCTAGGCATCATAATCACTTCAGTGGGCTGTAGTAGTTAAGGCGATTTCAGTGTTTATTTAAAACCCCCAACACTACTACTTTATAATAAAAAAAAATCATGCTCTGTTAACGCGGTGACTCATGGAATGGATACATGTTGCTTTTTTAATATTGCAGTGGGGGCTCTATCTTCATAAAAATTGAAAACGCTTATTTAACAACATGTAGTTGTGGGATGGATGGATGGATGAGAGGGGAACGGAAGGGTTGATAGATGGAAGAAAGGAAAAAAAATTAAGCTTTCTTTAGTGGTGATATGTCCTATTCTCTTGTGATACTTTTACATGTAAACACATGGTTTTGGTGTTATATATTGCATACAAAAACAAAAGATAAATAACAGAAGATCCTCAGAATATGACGAATAGCCTGCTGTGTGCATCATTTGGTGGTGGAGCTTCTCCATCCATTGCTGGAGGAATTATTGTAGTAGGGAAAACAAATATACCTTTCAATATTTTCACCAGTGGAAACTTATCCAGCATAATATGTAGATGGCATCAATACCTTGTTAAACTTTGCCAATTGCACAAAATGTGGATTAAAAGTTCCCATTAGAAGCAAATTAATCACTCACCTGTGATGCTGTCAACTAGCACTTGCCATCGATGTAGCTCTTGTTCCAACTGACGAATCTCACGTTTCTGGCGTCGGTCAGCAACAGTCAGTTCTACAAAGAAAAAGAGGATAAACAGGGGGTTAGAACGGATTTACAGAAGAAAAGAGAAAAAAAAAATATAAAGTTAAAATAGGACTTACCATGTTCAAGAACTTCATCTCTAGTATCTCTGCAAGAAGATAGAACAGAATTCAACCCTGATACACAGCATGTAAGCAAAGCAGTGCAACACTAAAGCAATGATGAATATAAATAACTACCATATAAAAATCATCAAATAAACTGATCCTAAATGGAGATTTTAGGTAAAGCAAGACCTTTCTGCTATGTCAGAGCTTGACATTCTTTGCTTTGGCTTGAAATATGTAGGTGATGTAAAAGAGTAAATTTCAGAATCACGTAAAATCAGTTGTAAGTATCTAATATAACAATACAAAAAGAGATGTACACAGAAGAAAGAAAATGGAATAGCTCTAAAACACCTATACAGTGGAATGTACTTTCCTCTCAACACAATAATACTTCGCTGTATACATGGACATGTTGTGATTTGTAAACCCAATACGGTTTAGCTGACATAATTCAAAGGTAATACACATGTATAAAAGCGTACCGGAGTTTGCTGTCATCAAGCATATCTTCAGCATCAGAGAAGTTAAGAACCTGGTCCCCTTTGGGGAGTGGCTGAACTGAAATATAATGGGAAACAAAAACAAGCCTTTACAGAAAATTCATGGAAAGGATGTTATGCTACATATTTAAAGTGGTTCAGGGAGTATGTGATTCACACCTGTCTGGTCCTCTAGCAGATAGTACTGCTTCATAAGCTGCCAATGCACCTGAAGATATTTGGCTGTTCGGGATACATAGAATACTTCTGGATGTTTGCTCAGCAAATCCTGAAAGGTCTCAAGAGTAGGTTGGGATGTCTGAAGACAATAGAGGATTCAATGACGGCTCAATGAAAACTATCTAAACAGATTCTTCTAGTGATACATATACATACCGAGCTCACTGTGCTCAATAACTGCTCCTCAGCTTTGCTGAACAATACTTTGCTCTGGATCGCAGCAATGGCCTCTGGGTGAAGCTGCCTGATGGCTTGACATGACAACCTATGAAATATTTCATAAAAAGAAATAGATTGTTTCAGACCTTGTAACGTTGCACCTTTTTTCCCCTCTTAGCATGATCAGAAAACTTAAAACTCACTTGGAGATTACGGGATCATAGAGTAAAGCGTACCAGCGTTCTTGGATTTCGTTTAGTGTGAAGCGGCAGCTAAACTTGACTCCAAGGTGCACCGCCTGCAGATCATTTGTCTGAAAACAAAATAGCCAAGTCTGTAAAACAATATATAAATGGCCTATATTTGTTGCCAGTATGTTAACAAAAGATCCTGGAAAATTCCAATGTTACATTGTACTCCACAGCTCATACAGACAACAGGATTTTAAGGCTCAGGAACTATTACAAAAAAAAAAAAAAAAACACAAATATAGCCCTTTAATCTGTCTCACAATGCAAATATAAAGATATTTTCCTGGCATTTAGACTGCATACATCCAATAGTAATATGACTTATTTTCCATTGAAAGTAAATGTGAACAGAATGAGTATACACATTCTCACCCATCAGCTGAGCGGCTAACAGACAAGCCAACAGTGTTGGTTTTTCTTAATCCAGTTTATCTATAATATATGTATTCAGCCATTCAGCTGCAAAGACTCTAGTGATTAACCCTCTATGTGAAATTCAAAACAAACCTGTAACACTGTGTTGATAAGTAGCAGATCATCAGCAGGTTTCCATCTTCCAAGGTCTTTTGTAACCTGCATGGGCTGTTTGCTTTTCTTGATGCGTTTAGTGATGCTGGGACTTGGTGCAGGAGAGTGTGGAGCTGGAGTTAGTGCAGTCTTACTAACCTGTACCAAATGAAAGAGACAATATTCAAAAAAAGACTGCGGAATTTGTTTCATGCGATCTTTAGAATTAAAACATCCTACTGCTGATCTCAATTCCTATGAGTTTTCCAGAAGAAAAGTTAGTTTATATAGATTATATGTGTACATGTATGCATATACACATCTATCTCCAACTCTCTAATATACATCTATCTCTATCTATCCTCCCCGAGGAATAGATCCTGCTTTTCTCTGTACAATAAAGGTATATTTAACCAGATATCAGCTTCTAGCTCAGTACTACAGAGCAGTACCAATACATGGGTTATATCATATTAGGAGTGTTAATCCCATTACGTGTATAAGCAGGTCTGCAAAAGCTACAGGTAAAAGCAAATTCAATATGTAGACATGTCAACAACTCTAATAGTACAAATAAATGATACTACAATCTGTCATGTGTTCTGTCTTAATCTGTTAATGTCTGCCTGCCTCTCGGTTTGTCTCTCTACACATTTCCCACTGTCCGTCTGCTTATTTCAAGCAGTCATCTTTTCATTCACCTCTCAAGCTTATCCGCTCTAAAAATGTCAGTCTACTTCCATTGGTCTGATCTGCAGGTTCCTCTCATTCTGTCTGTTCCTTTTGCAATATGTCTGTGTCTCTCTCAGTCTTCCTGTATACTCATCACTATAATAACAGTATCCAAAACCGTAACTTAAACTAAGTCCAACCTACAAATATAATACAAAATAAATGACACACAACAGTAAATAGTGTATAATGCAATCTCAATCAAATGCAGTGCAACTATAACAAATATTGTAATTACTAAATGCTGAGGTTTTGTTTTTTTCACAAAGGATTTAGCCCGGTAAATTCAAATCAATTCAGTTCCTTTAGCTTGGCCCCGAATAAGAACCAGCCTTCCTCCCAATCCAATAACCCAATGTGATAAGTGACTGGAATGGCAGGGAGACTGATGCTCGCTACTGGATGAAAAATGCTGGATGAAACCCCCTAAAAAAAAGCCCTGACTTAGTTGGTTTAATTTTGTATTTTGCGTTTTTAAGGCAACACCGTACACTACGCTCACAGGCACGAGTCCTGCAAACGCGAGGGCTGATTAGGCTGGTACATAAATAGTTCTCACCATATGGCATACAACCTCCCCCCCTCCACTGCTGCCCCCCTCTCGGTCAGGGGTTCTCAGCATGGATGCATACCCCCCTAATCCTCCCACTAATTACCTGGAGCAATATGCACCCACCTCCTTAGCCCAATGCCAGCATATCATCTCATGTTTGACACTGTACCCTTAGTCCGTGCCTCCACATATATGCCTGAATCACCTAAGGGAACATGTCATAGGTACCATGCTTAGGGACCACGACAAGCTTGATAACCTTATTAAGTATCATAACCAAGCTAACTCATTCCCGTTGTCCCCAAACAAATGTAAAATGCTTGGATTTAAAAAAAAATAAATAAAAAAAAAAATGGATGCTTTTAATCACTATTGCAATGCATGTTTTTAGATTGTTGATTCACTCACCGTTTATAAATAACTTGTATGCTTTTACCATATGCCTACAGCTCGTACTACATGTGTTAAATCAAAAGCATCTTGAAAATAAAGAAATATCTAAAAAAAAAAATTTAACATGTCAAAATATATAAAATAGGCATATACATCAAAAGCACCTGCCTAATGTGCTTTTGTGTCCTCTCGATCATATTATATAAACCAGATTACGTTGTTCACTACACACTGTTAAATAAAATAGTATTTTATATTGAAAAAAAAAAATGAAGTTACACACTCTATGTGTAAGAAAACAAACACAAAAACCACCAATAAGTAGATGTGTATGTAACAAAGTAGATGGGAGGAAGAAGTACTCACATGACTAACACCTGTCCTCAAAGCACTGCCCTTTAACATGTCCTGAGAAAGGGGAAGCAAGCCTGGGGTCAGTGTACTTTGCATCCATACATCATCGACATGAATCTAGGAGGAGAAAATCTGTGAGGACTCCAAAGATGATGGTATTTGACAATGAGACCTCTGTCTGTCTCTCAATATACTTAAAGAAAATCTATAGTGCCAGGAAAACAAAGTTTTTTTTTCTGGCACTATAGCTGCCTCAAAGTCCCCCTCCCCACCCATGGTGCACAAGGGAGATATATCCTTCACTTGCCTGGTTCCAGCACTGATGTTCTTCGTCCCTTCCTCGGGTCCCCTACCACCGCTGATGTCGGCGGTGGAAGTCCTTTTAGTGGCTGTCTGGTAGAAAGCCACTAGAGTTGGAGTAACCCCACAGAGCTAATTATTGCAGTAATTAGCTTTGCAGAGTTAATGGGCCTGAGACACTGCACCCACACAACTTCAACAAACTTAAGTGGTCTGGGTGCCTATAGTGTCCCTTTCAGTGTCAAAATCTTTCTGAAGAAACAAGAAAGAAAAAAAAAAAGTCTACAGACACTATGATCAATTTGCTTTTCATCCCCCAGCAAAACAATTAAAAATGGAGGAGTGGTGTGCACTCTGATGGGATTCAACTGAAAAGGCCAAAACACTTATCCTTGTTTAACCCAGTAATCATATCAAGCACTTAAAAGAACACTCTAGTACAGGCGTAGGCAACCTTCGGCACTTGAAGTTTTGGACTACACCTCCCATGATGCGTTTCCAGCATTTGACTACTTTGCATTTCTTTGAGATGACGTGCTAAGACAGCACATCTCAAGGGATTAATTCACAGCATTATAAGCTTTTTGCCTTGAAATATTCCCTGTATAACATTTTTTTTTTAAATGGCTTTAATAAAGATGCCAATAATATATTCTCATTATAAATGAATGTTTGCATTGGTTTTGCAGATTTTAATGCAGAACTTGGTTTCCTACCTTCTTCTTCTCACTGGATGAAGGCTCACTGCCTGAACCACGTCCTTGTTCACTTCCACTAGGACCACGAGCACGACTTGTGGACTTCGCAAGACTGCTCTCAACCAACTCGTCATCAAATTTCTTTCGCTTAATAAACCTGCCAGACCAACAATCTACATTTAGGTGCTTTATACTGCAAAGTGATAATAACTACAAGATGTATTTGACAGTACCAGATATTGTTATGCACTTTACAGCAGCTTTAGAACAATGCAAGGTTTACACTCTCTTCTAAATGTATTCCTCACTCTCAACTATGTCTCCACGTCTAGTTGAAACATTTACACATTACTATAATATTTTTCATTAAAAATATGTATTTAACTGAGATTTTGTGGTGCATAATAAATATAGAAAGGTCTAAGGTCTAGTCTTTACCGAGTAGTTCCAAACCATAACTTGTGGTTATTCAGTTTCATCCAACTAAATTGAGGTATCTGGTCATATTATTTCCTAAGATTTGAAATCACTATGTGTTCTTAACTATCTCAATTGATCATAACCCTTAAACAGGATATAGTGGAATAGTTCAATAACACTACATCTTGATCAGGTAAATTCATTAGATTCAAACTTGCTCCCTCTGGTTCGATAACACGCATCGCCGTGTCAGAGGGGGCAGCGGCACGCATCGGTGTATCTCACACACAGTGACCCAGTAACACAGTATAAACACAGGTTATCCTTGTACACAGCCCCACACACACAGTGCAGTTAGCAACACAGTATAAACCCGGGTTATCCCTGTACACAGGGCACTCAGTATAAATCCGGGTTATCCCGGTACACAGTGCAGTCAGTAACACAGTATAAACCCGGGTTATTCCGGTACACAGTGCGGTCAGTAACACAGTATAAACCCGGGTTATCCCGGTACACAGTGCGGTCAGTAACACAGTATAAACCCGGGTTATCACGGTACACAGTGCACTCAGTATAAACCCGGGTTATCCCGGTACACAGTGCGGTCAGTAACACAGTATAAACCCGGGTTATCCCGGTACACAGTGCGGTCAGTAACACAGTATAAACCCGGGTTATCCCGGTACACAGTGCGGTCAGTAACACAGTATAAACCCGGGTTATCCCGGTACACAGTGCAGTCAGTAACACAGTATAAACCCGGGTTATCCCGGTACACAGTGCACAGTATAAACCCGGGTTATCCCGGTACACAGTGCGTCAGTAACACAGTATAAACGCGGGTTATCCCGGTACACAGTATAAACCCGGGTTATCCCGGTACACAGTATAAACCCGGATTATCCCGGTACACAGTGCAGTCAGTAACACAGTATAAACCCGGGATATCCCGGTACACAGTGCACTCAGTATAAACCCGGGTTATCCCGGTACACAGTGCAGTCAGTATAAACCCGGGTTATCGCTGTACATAGTGCGGTCAGTAACACAGTATAAACCCGGGTTATCCCTGTACACAGTGCAGTCAGTAACAGTATAAACCCGGGTTATCCCGGCACACAGTGCAATCAGTAACTCAGTATAAACCCGGGTTATCCCGGTACACAGTGCGGTCAGTAACACAGTATAAACGCGGGTTATCCCGGTACACAGTGCGGTCAGTAACACAGTATAAACGCGGGTTATCCCGGTACACAGTGCGGTCAGTAACACAGTATAAACGCGGGTTATCCCGGTACACAGTGCAATCAGTAACTCAGTATAAACCCGGGTTATCCCGGTACACAGTGCGGTCAGTAACACAGTATAAACCCGGGTAATCCCGGTACACAGTGCGGTCAGTAACACAGTATAAACCCGGGTTATCCCGGTACACAGTGCGGTCAGTAACACAGTATAAACCAGGGTTATCCCGGTACACAGTGCGGTCAGTAACGCAGTATAAACACAGGTTATCCCAGTACACAGTGCGGTCAGTAACACAGTATAAACCCGGGTTATCCCGGTACACAGTGCGGTCAGTAACACAGTATAAACCCGGGTTATCACGGTACACAGTGCGGTCAGTATAAACCCGGGTTATCCCGGTACACAGTGCGGTCAGTAACACAGTATAAACCCGGGTTATCCCGGTACACAGTGCACTCAGTATAAACCCGGGTTATCCCGGTACACAGTGCACTCAGTATAAACCCGGGTTATCCCGGTACACAGTGCACTCAGTATAAACCCGGGTTATCCCGGTACACAGTGCACTCAGTATAAACCCGGGTTATCCCGGTACACAGTGCGGTCAGTAACACAGTATAAACCCGGGATATCCCGGTACACAGTGCGGTCAGTATAAACCCGGGTTATCGCTGTACACAGTGCAGTCAGTAACACAGTATAAACCCGGGTTATCCCGGTACACAGTGCAATCAGTAACACAGTATAAACCCGGGTTATCCCGGTACACAGTGCGGTCAGTAACACAGTATAAACCCGGGTTATCCCGGTACACAGTGCGGTCAGTAACTCAGTATAAACCCGGGTTATCCCGGTACACAGTGCGGTCAGTAACACAGTATAAACCCGGGTTATCCCAGTACACAGTGCAGTCAGTAACACAGTATAAACCCGGGTTATCCCGGTACACAGTGCAGTCAGTAACACAGTATAAACCCGGGTTATCCCGGTACACAGTGCAGTCAGTAACACAGTATAAACGCGGGTTATCCCGGTACACAGTATAAACCCGGGTTATCCCGGTACACAGTGCAGTCAGTAACACAGTATAAACGCGGGTTATCCCGGTACACAGTATAAACCCGGGTTATCCCGGTACACAGTATAAACCCGGATTATCCCGGTACACAGTGCAGTCAGTAACACAGTATAAACGCGGGTTATCCCGGTACACAGTATAAACCCGGGTTATCCCGGTACACAGTGCAATCAGTAACACAGTATAAACCCGGGTTATCCCGGTACACAGTGCAATCAGTAACACAGTATAAACCCGGGCTATCCCGGTACACAGTGCAATCAGTAACACAGTATAAACCCGGGTTATCCCGGTACACAGTGCAATCAGTAACACAGTATAAACCCGGGTTATCCCGGTACACAGTGCAATCAGTAACACAGTATAAACCCGGGTTATCCCGGTACACAGTGCAATCAGTAACACAGTATAAACCCGGGTTATCCCGGTACACAGTGCAATCAGTAACACAGTATAAACGCGGGTTATCCCGGTACACAGTGCAATCAGTAACACACGCGGGTTATGCTACACAGTGCGGTCAGTAACACAGTATAAACCCGGGTTATCCCGGTACACAGTGCAATCAGTAACACAGTATAAACCCGGGTTATCCCGGCGGTCAGTAACACAGTATAAACCCGGGTTATCCCGGTACACAGTGCGGTCAGTAACACAGTATAAACGCGGGTTATCACGGTACACAGTGCACTCAGTATAAACCCGGGTTATCCCGGTACACAGTGCGGTCAGTAACAGTATAAACCCGGGTTATCGCGGTACACAGTGCGGTCAGTAACACAGTATAAACCCGGGATATCCCGGTACACAGTGCGGTCAGTAACACAGTATAAACCCGGGTTATCCCGGTACACAGTGCGGTCAGTCCGTCACCTGGAGGAGCTCCTCCTTTTGGGGACGAGGCCAGACCCCTGGGACAGGCTCCGGTTATGTCCGGCGGAGGAATCCTCATCCTCGGAGCGGCTGGCAAGAGACTCCATCACCGCGAATGAGGTGACCGGGAACAAACTATCGGATCTCGAAGTAAGGGCCCATTATCCGACTCCATCCGCCGCCATTAATACAATCCCCCCCACCTCCACTGTGGGTGGCTCGCTCGATCTACTTCCGGCAGCGAGTCGCACGGAAATGACGTAATGATATCGCCCAGCATGCCCAGCGAGTGTACAGAGTGCTGCTGGAGGGTTACAGTGAAAGCATCATTGTTTATAGTGATATTTATTAGTATCAAAACCTCTTTACCAAAAACAAAATACATATATATTTATATAACTATAATACGGTGTATTGCTGCTTGTTAATCTTGTAAGATTCCCCTATCAGTTCATGGATACCAATTACAATAAAAGTCATACAGCCAATAGTGAACACAATACAATATGTATCAATAGGTTCAGGTGCCTGGTTGGACACATCTACATTAAAGGGGTAGAAAACCATTCACCGAAACAGAAAATATACCTTTTAAGGCAAAATAGCTGATTTTGGAGAGCAAAATAGCCAATATGATGATTATTCCAGCTCAGTTTGGCACCAGTTTTGGTGTTGGCACATTTGGGACAATTCCCAGTTTTACTAATACCCCCCAGGGTACAGGTCTGGGGCTACTGTCTAGCAGTAGACATTGCAAGTCATATTAGTAATTTTTCAGAAGACAACATTACTTTAATAAAACAGTGTGAGCAGGTCATTATTATGCTGTTTTGGACACATTAGAGTAGAGGACTGGGAAGTGACAGCTGAGATTTAATGTAGATAAATGCAAAGATCCACACCTCCTATTTCTCACCTGCCCATTCATCTAGATCAGTGGTGGCCAACCTTTTTTCACTTCAGTACCCCTTGGCAGCCCATATCCATAAATTGTACCCCTGACATTAGCAAAATGTTGTTATTAATGTATTTGCATTTATTTGCAATTTTATTCATTTTTCTCTGTTCAATCTCCCCCTTTTCTCTGCCCCATGCTCTTTATGCTTTTCCTCCGCCCCATACTCTCCATGCTTCTCTTTCGCCCCATGCTCTCCCTGCTTCTCCTCCACCACATGCTCTCTATGCTTTTCCTCCGCCCCATACTCTTCTTTTTCACCCATGCACTCCATTAGGCATGTGCATGGGGAAAATTTTCGGTTTGGCATTCCGAAATTCGGGATTTTTGCAATTCAGGACTTCGGCACTTCAACACTTCGGCGGGTGGGGGCCCTAAAGTAAAATGATGGTCTAAAAAATCTAATGTCCTCCCCCCTGGCCCCCACCCCTGAGCGGCGGGTGGGGGCCCTAAATTGGAATAAGGGGGGGACCCCTAGTCATCTGGGAGGGGGGGTTAACATTTTTTTTAGGGCCCCCACCCGCCACTCAGGGGTGGGGGCCAGAGGGCAGGACATTAGGTCCCCCCCTTATTAGTATTTAGGGCCCCCACCCACCGCTCAGGGGTGGGGGTCAGGGGGGAGGACATTAGGTCCCCCCCTATTCCAGTTTAGGGCCCCCACCCGCTGCTCAGGGGTGGGGGCCAGGAGGGAGGACATTAGGTCCCTCCCTTATTAAAATTTAGGGCCCCCACCCACCGCTCAGGGGTGGGGGCCAGAGGGGAGGACATTAGGTCCCCCCACTATTCTGATTTAGGGCCCCCACCCGCCGCTCAGGGGTGGGGGCCCGGACAATAGGTCCCCCCCCCCCCATTATTTTACATTAGGGCCCCCAGCTGCCGCTCAGGGGTGGGGGCGAAGGGGCAATAGGTGGGGAGGGGGGACCTTTTTTTTTTTTTTTAACAGTGAGCAGCCATAGGCTGCTCACTGTTTAATAGACATGCCCCTACTCGCTGTATAGCGAGTAGGGGCATAGTACTCTTTACTTAGTATTAGTAAATTTGTCTGAAAGACCAATTTAGGTCTTTCAGCCTTTTAGTAGATAGCTCCCTAATACCATGAGGTGACCATGGGAATTAGGGAGTTATCTACTTATTCATTCCTGTCATTACATTGACAGGCTAAGTAACTTACATTTTATATGAATGTATGTTACTTGATTGTTGTAAGGGTTGCAAATGCTTACAGCTGAATCCTGGCTATGTTTGTATACTTTTTATTTAAAATTGTATACAATGTAACATTCTTCTTCTTTCACTGGGTAAGTATATTAGTACTTTGGAAACTTCGGAACTTCGGAAATTCAGTAATTTCGGAACTTCGGGACCTCAGCAATTCGGCACTTCAGACATTCGGAAGTACCCGAATGTCTGAATTGCCCGAAATTTGTCCGAATTCATATTCGGACCGAAACGAATTGCACATGTCTACTCTCCATGTTTCTCCTTTGCCCCATACTCTATCTGCCTCTCCTCCACCCCAGACTCTCCCTGCTTGTCCTTCGCCCCAGACTCTCCCTGCTTCTTCTCCACCCCAGGCTCATCCTGATTCTCGTATAGAATATAGAAAAAAATTGGATACAGCTAAAAAACCTAAAAATAAATAAATAAATAAATAACATAGTGTAGTATCCTCTTAAACAGTGTATGACACAACAATATAATGCACTGACAGAATGTCAGGATAACAATTGCCTGAAGGGTGTCTCCCCCGATAGCACTGGGGGGGGCTAAACGTGATCCTCCTCTCCTTCCCTTTTTCGATATTCAGGAGTATGAACAGAGCAGGAATCAAGAAAATAGTAAAAAAAAAAAAAAGCTTCATTTATTGCCAATGGTTAAAAAGTATATGAGACAAAGATAAGTCCTACGCATTTCGTTCCAATGTCGGAAATTCCTCAGGGACTTAGTAAAAATAAGGTAAAATCACAAGTTTACAAAATGCAGTATAACAATAATACCTGCCAAACACTGACACACAGATACAGTGACACACATACAGACACTGACACAGATATAGGCACTAACACACATGCAGATACAAACATTGACACATATATAGGCACTGACACACATGCAGATACAGACACATATATACATACCCTGACACACAGATACATACCCTGACACTCAGATACATACTCTGACACACAGACACATATACTGACAAACATGCAGATACACAGACACAAATATATTCAGATACATACCCTGACATACAGACACACAGATAATTACCCTGACACACACTCTGACACACATGCAGTTACACAGACACATAGATACATACACTGACACAAATACAGAAACATATCCTGACACACATTCAGACACATACCTTGACACACATACAGACACACTGACATAGAGTAACACACTCTTACAAGCATGCAGATACTCAGAGACACATGCAGATGTAAATACACAGAGACACACACACTGACACAGATACACACATTGACAAACATGCATATACAAATACACTGAGACACTTAAAGTATCACTATAGGGTCAGGAACACAAACATGTATTCCTGACCCAATACTGTTAAAATCACCATCTAGCCCCCCCTGAGCCCATCATGCCTCCATAAATATAGCAACATCTTACTGTATTCAAGCCAGAAGCTGTAACTCTGCATGCTGTTTGCCTAAAAAAAAACAAGCAGTCTGCTGACATCATTAGAAGTGGTGGCTTGATCAAATCACAATGCTTCCCCATAGGATTGGCTGAGACAGACAAAGAGGCAGATCAGGGGCAGAGCCAGCATGATTCAAACACAGCCCTGGCCAATCAGCATCTCCTCATAGAGATGAATTGAATCAATGAATCTCTATGAGGAAAGTTCAGTGTCTGCATGCAGAGAGAGGAGATACTGAATGTTTGGCTGCATTTTAGGCAGCCATGACCCAGGAAGGATCTCTAACAGCCATCTGAGGAGTGGCCAGTGAAGTTATCACTAGGCTGTAATGTAAACACTGCATTTTCTCTGAAAACACAGGGCTTATAGCAAAAAGCCTGAAGGTAATGATTCTACTCACCAAAACACATTAAATAAGCTGTAGTTGACACATATACAGATACAGTGAAACACAGATACATACACTGACACACATGCAGATACACAGATATAGACAATGACATACACAACGACACACATACAGACAAAGATACCTACACTGACATACAGATACGGACACTGACACACAGATACAGTGACACACATGCAGATACATATACAAGTTGTGAAACTGCACTCAAAACCCTCCACCTTGGAATCCTTGGGTGCTGACCTTAAGAGGTTGAAACGTTGTGGTTTGGTTCTTGGGTGCAATAAAATTGCCTATCATTTGGAATACTTTGGAGTGCCTGGATTACTTTCTACATTTACACATGCAGATACAGACACTGACAGACATATAGACACTGACACACATGCAGATACAGACATACTGTTACATACCCTAACACACAGATACACATACGAATACATACCTTGACACACATACAGAAACATACCCTGACACACATGCAAATACACACACATAGATACATACCCTGACACACATGCAGATACACAGACACATAGATACATAAACTGACACAAATAAAGACACATACCCTGACATATATATACACACACATACACTAACACAGAGATACACACTCTGACACACATGCAGATACACAGACACACATGCAGATACACAGAGACACACCCTGACAAACATGCAGATACACAGACACATATACTACACTTAAGGATTCATACCCTGACACACATAGATACACACACTGAAACAAAGATACACACCATGACACACAGAAACACACATTGACACACATGCAGATACACAGAGATACACACACAGACACACAGACACATATCCTGAAACAAAGATACACACCCTGACACACAGATACATACCCTGACACACAGCACATAAAGCACACATGCAGATACACAGACACACAGATACACACACTGACACACATATACACACCCTGACACACATGCAGATACACAGGCACATTTGAACTTGAACTATTTGAACTTTTTAAATTATATCAAGAATTTGGACTATCTTTTTTTATATATATATTTGTTATATATATTTATTAAATCCCCTTTTCTTTATACATATTATTCCTCTTTTACGTTTTAAAGTGTTTTGCCATATTTATCCCTTTTTCATTTGATATTTACGTAGCGCAACCTATTATTCTTGTTTTTGTTATTTC